GTTTGCTTTTGAGATATCGATCCAAAAAATATATCAGAACAACTAATTTGAAGAAATAATTATTTTGTTTGATCCTCTGTTGATCAAATATATATATTCCCCATGATATATTTATGAGCGTAGATATCTTACGGTAGCAAACTGAAAAGCGACTAATAGACCGAATAATCCTCTATTTTCTTATATGCTTATTGTAGTATTTGAATATTTCGGGTTTTAGCTACACGAGAGTGTGGAACTGCTTTTCATTTGTCATGTATTGTTGCCTTGTTGCCCAACATTTAGATATCCATAGTCAATTTACTCAATTGTCGTTATTAATAAATCATTTTAAAAGATAAATCAACTTTGGGTATTTTTTGCAGACAACAAATTGTTTAGTCAAGTGATTAAAATTTATAGTTTTTTCTTTGGAATTCGGTTCCTTCCCCACAAAAAATATCATGTTGACGAAGGAATAAAAAAATTGTGCGCTTTTATATGATAGCAAAAAAGGGAACAAAATTACATAAAACTGAACTTTTTGCTGTTTCCCGTAAAATAATACTCATGGTTTCGGTTAAAAACTTTACAAGAAACACCATTTATTTGCAGGTATTTGATGCCAGAGAAAGAAAGACGGGCTAATTGATAAAAAGCCCAGATTGGCCAATGGGCCTAAGGCTTGGTGTTGAAACATTATGTGTTGCCCATATAAGATGACATATATGCTTTGCTTTGTTAGTTTTGGGTCACACAGCTTGTTGTTATCTTTCGCCCTTTATCTGTGTGATTAAGAAAAAGAAAAAAACTTATTACAATGATTATAGTGACTCTTTTCGTTTGTTAGTGACTCATTCAATCATTATGCTTCTTCCATGCGTGCATAAAATTAGAATAATGATAATCTAAACAATTGACCAGAAGAAATATTTTTTTAAAAATGTTATAAACAAAAACTGGATTTTTAAAAAATCTGCTGGAAAAGTCACTGAATTCTAGGTAGCACGTGTCACCGGAACTGTCACAATCATGCAAGATTATATGCCGGTTAGTAAAGTTGTTAATCATGTACTAGACTTGAAGCTAATGTTCTTCGCGAGATACTTTACCGAACAAAAGTTGAATTTTATCGTTGAAAGTGGATCAGATATAGAGGTTAATTAACTCAATAACTTAAAACGGTGAAAATTGAAATGTGTTTATGCTTTTTTACTTGCATTTCTTTTGGGGGAGATACAGTATATATTGGCAAATGAATTGATTAGGGAGCTGGAACATATAAATTATTAGTGAGCTATGTGTAAGGTACAACTATCATTAATGGTTTTCTGCGATCACTGATTATAAATGACGGCATTTAACTATTGTAAGCTTTGTATGTTTAATAGTACTATGGGATGATATTATGAGTACTGGAAAAATAATATAATAAATATTTTTATTTTATCTAGAAATGGGTAGATAAACAAATTAAATGGGGTCGCCCAACGTGCTCGTATCAATATATTTTCTTCTTCATTGTGTTAGCATAAAATAAAAGTCGGTGCTAAGGAAAGTCACAAATTATTTAACATGAAAGTGAAAGCCGGTCCACCTCTATATACAATTTATGATATTAAAAAAAATTAAATTAATTAATACTCAAATCAGTGTGTCAACTCCAAAATAATTAAAGTATGCAGTCGTGCTTCAATCACTGTCTCTAGTCAGATAGCCTAATATTGTATGCATACACAAACACGTGACACCTACGTATAGAGAACATTCATCTATCTACCTTTAGATGGCTAAAAAAATCTCAGATAGAAGATCACATGACTGCGTTTGAGAAACAAAGTACATATATATATTTGACATTTATAGTGAAATTGTTAATGTTATAACGCATTTCTCACTTGGAGCCTAGTACTAGACTGCGTATTGAATTTACATAAAATAGATGTTATACACATAACGTTACTAAATTCTCTATCGCAATATTAGATTCTCTATATAGCTTGTAAATACTGTAGTTACATACAAACTTAATATGTATAAGACCAAAGCAAAATATAAGACCAAAGCAAAATATGTAACTACAGTATTTACCTAGAGTAGAAATGATTAGCGAATCGTTTTTCCTATAAAATTCCTTTCTAAATATTTATATTTACTACACTCTAAAGTTCTAAAGTCACTAAACCGTATTAATAGCAGTAATTAATACAACTATATACAAATAAATAGTACTATATATATAAAAAAATGGACAGGGTGGCATCATAATTTATGGGGACAGCTGTCGTGGTGATGCATTTATGACCACTAACATGCAATGGCACGGATGCACATTTTAGTCCTATACTTGTTAGATTCTTCTACAAATTTTACTTAATTCAATACCTCTTGAAATGTTCTCATTATTTAATACATTCTTCATATAGTTCTATGTTTAATTTTATATCATATGCAAGTGCTCGGTTGTCATAGATCTGATTTTTTTTGTCTGTGAACTTCGAATTTTCACATTATAAAAAGTTTTTTCTCACCTGTTTACAAAAAGAGTATTTTAAGTTGACAGTTATCTATTTATTTTGGGATATCAAAATATTGTCGATTTCTCGAATGGGAGTGATCGGAACATATTTATTGGTATCTTTTACGATCCCATGTCAACTCTTATGCAGTAATTTGTCCCCACTTAATTAAGTTGTTTATTGGTTCAAAGGCATTAACTGCGTGGTCTCTAACTTTTCTTCTATAATATGGTTTTCTTTTACATTCATTTGCAGTAAAAAAAAAACATCCACTACATATTATTTAAAAAGTAATATTATCGAAAATAGCTAATTTATCAATAGTATAGCCAAAGTTAATACTTTTAATTAATAACATGTAAATATGACATGTCAAACTTTCTAAAATAAACGAAATGTTTTGATTGGTTGAATTAAAATTATAAAAATATGTAACTAAAACATAAATAAACTAGATTATATTTATAACACTAAAATTAAAAAATTTAAATTAACAAAAAATAAAAGTTATTATAATTTCAATTTTTTCATATATTCATAATTTCATAAAATATAATTAAGATTTTTTTTTCAAATATATATATAAAATATAATTTCATATAAAACGAAAAAATAATACTAAATTATCCAAATAGAATAGTAAAATTTCTATTTATTAATAATACTTGAAGTATGATATATTTTTATTTCAGAAAGTTATTAATTTACAAATTATATTAATAACATCTAAACAAGTTTTAAATAAACAAAAGATTAAATAATACAATTTTAAATAAAATACAATCATGATAAAAATAATTTAAAGAATAAAATGTTAAAAATATTAAAAATATTTAACTTTTACTGAATGTTTTTAAAAAATCGTAATTTTAAATAATTTTTCTTTTCAAACTAATATTTACTAAATGAATAAAATATATAGTAATTATTATTTTATAATATTAATAGGACCATATATTTTTCTATAACTTTTATCATCTTTTTGTTGTTGTTTTTCTTAAATGTACATAACTTATGTTACTATCTCATCTTATCTCTTATCATATTTTTAATAAAAATAAAATTTTATATCATATTCACATATATATATATATACATAAATTTATTTTTATTGTATATCAAAATTTTGAGATCATAAATGAAATGAAAAATAATCGAAAGAAAGAATAAATTATAATAATATGAAACAATATGAATAAGAAATAAAAAATAGAAATATATAAAAATAAATCTATCGCACTTTGTTTTACAAAATCACTTGAAAACTTTTTAACACGTAAAAGCTATATTTCAATTTTTTTACAAATACGCGTACAAACATAAATATTAATTGTACATTAGTTGAAGTCACATGCGAACTTTTATGTGCATGTGTTTTGTTAAGATTGATTACTATCTAATTTTTATTTTAAGTATTATACAATTTATATTTTTTTTAAAAAAATATTTATTTATTCTAAATGTAGTAAAAATGTAAAATGGTTGGTATGTCCTCATATGCGTGCCAACTATCTATCCGCTCTTACGAATAAGTAAAAATGGTAAAAATAATTTCAGTTTAAATTGCAATAAATCAAGAAAAATATATACTTAAAATATATTATATATGTATTTGTAAATTCATATTGTGTAAGACGAAAAAAACATATTGTAGATTGTGTAAAGAGAAATAAAGCATATTATAGAAATATTCAAAAAATTATATAAATTTAATTATTATTTAACATAACTTTTATATTTGTGATTATATATTATTACAAGCATTATAAAAATAAAAAGTTTTAAAATACATTGATTTCAGAAAGAAGTTTGTGAAATATTAAAGCAATATATATATATATATATACATATTAGAGATAATATCCCACATTGGAAGTTGGAAGGGATCCTAACTAATATATAAGGAGCATGAGCCAATCCACTTACTGCCAATTGGTTTTAGGTTGGAAGCCCATGTAACTTACATGGTATCAGAGCCCGATCCAAACAATCCAACCCGATCCATAATCGATATGTGACCCAAAGATGGTCCGTCGATCCTTGCCCAAACATTACCGAGATCAATGGCCAAAGTAGCCATCGTCTCGAGGGGACGTATTAGGGATAATATCCTACATCGGAAGTCAGAAGGGATCATAACTAATATATAAGGAGCATGGACCAATCCACTTACTGCCAATTGATTTTAAATTGGAAGCCCATGTAACTTAACAATACAAACATACCAATGTTTAAAAAACTAATCAACATTTAAATATTACAATTAACTATGTATATCAAAAAAATCATACCTGCACATATGTGCGGGCAACCACCTAGTTACTATTAATTATCTCACCGTTCTTTTAGTTAGTAGCAAAAAACTAGTGTTAGTTGTAATTAACTGCATTATATTTTTGCGTAGATCTGATTTATGAGTGAAATATAATAATAATTCGTGATTATAATAGACATGCAAACAGAGACTATGAACAATTGTAATTAGACCGCAAGAAAAACAATGCCATAAATATGAAAACAGAGGACATAGACAGATATAAATTAAAATAATGTATTTTTGGTAAAATATACGAATACTGTAATACAGATCTAACGAAATAGTGTGGAGTAAAAGCTGGGGATCACTTCTGAATTCCCGGGGAAAAAAAAATGTCGGTTTCACTTTGCTAATTATCTAATTCATTTTCCCGGAAAGTTACAAAGGCATTTCTTTTGATTCCTCTTGAAAGTCACAGAAACATAAGAGTCGAAGCAAAAAGGCTGGAGCTTTGCTTCTTTTTTTTTTTATTTTGTGTTCCTCGAATCATGATCTTGACTTTCTGAGTAAGATTATTCTAATAGAGTGCTGCTGAGAAAATGATGGCTCTGATGAATTGTGCTTCTTCATCTTTTTCTTCCTCTTCAACTTCCTCACCCACTTCTTCTTCTTCTTCGTCTTCATATTCTCCGAGGTAAATCATTTCAATTGCGTAAAGAAATTGTACTTTGCATTTGTATATTCTGCAGAGAAACCAATTGATCAATCTAGCTAATTGAATTTTTTTCTGCTTGAAACAGAGAGAAGAACATGGTTTTGCAGAGTGTGGTTGATCATGATGTGTCATCTCCAAGTTTCTCTTCCGACAGCAAACTTGTACTGTTTCGAGATCATCTAACTTTTTTTTTTTTTTTTGCATTTTTTATTTCCTAAAAAAAGCAAAAAGTCTCTGAAAAAGTCTTTTAAAAAAAACGAGCTTTACTGTTGAAAACAAAAAGAAGAGAACTCTGCTTTTTCTTCTGGGTTTATGTTGTCTGATGCAATTTGCATGAACAGAAAAAAGTGAAAGAAATCTCATTCTCTCTTCTGTGTTTTTCTTTTCCCTTTAATGACAGATTTTACCAATTGAGAAGACTTTAATAACCCACAAAAACTCCAATCTCTGCCTCATCTCCAAGGTTGGTTCAATAATCAGATCTTTGATTAAATAGTATACTTTCTTGTCTTGCCATTGCTCTTCCATAATCTTGATTTTGTTTGTTTGTGTAACAGTCTTCAGAAGAATTGAAGAAGGAGATTGCATCTATCGAGTTAGAGATTCTTCACATGGAACGATATTTATTATCTCTCTACAGAAAATCTTTCGAACAGCAGATTTCTTCTTTCTATAATCTCTCATCTACAACCTTACCTCGTTCACTGACTACTTCACCATCATCACTAGCTCTTTCAAATCATTATCAAGCTTACCAAAAACCTATTTCGTATCCTCGAAGTTTCCACACTAGTTTAAAAGCCTTATCTTCAAGGGTAATTTAGAACTTAATTAACTGAAATCAAATTCTTAAATAACCAATTAACTGAGCTTAAGAAAAGTCTGACCGGTTTTTGAATGGTTTTTCTTTTTCAGGAAGGGACTAAAGAAGTGTCTGGTAATAAGAGTCTTGGAGAGCTTCTAGGATCATCTCATATAGTTGATGATCCCAACTTCATAAACCCTAATAAACTCTCTGAAGATATCATGAGATGCATATCTTCTGTATATTGTACACTTTCAAGAAGCTCAACAACAAGAAGGAACTCTGCTTGCTTCTCTGCTTCTCCGCTTTCGTCAGTGTCGAATTCATCAACCATTTTCTCTTCCAAATCCAATCATGACGATAAATGGAGCCTGCATTGCGCAAGTGAGGATCATTTGATGAATCATAGTCAAGATCAAGGCAGTGTTTTGCCTTGTGGTGCTGTTGTAGTCGAGGCTCTTAGAGTTTACTTAGATGATGGTAGTTTCGGTTACGCTGCTCGTTTGCTGCAAAACTTCAGGTACATTTGGATTTGATGATTTCAAAAATCTACATACATAGTTGGTCTTCATTTGCGTCCATGAACAACTCGGTGTTGCAGATCATTGGTTCAAAATCTTGAGAAAGTTGATCCAAGTAGAATGAAACGGGAAGAAAAGCTTGCGTTTTGGATTAACATTCATAATGCTCTTGTCATGCATGTAAGTAAAACAATCTCTCTTGAAATCTTTGAATCTGTTTCTTGTAAATTGTAATGATCTTTTCATATCAAAAACTTTTTTTTTTATCTTTGCAGGCTTACTTAGCTTATGGAACTCACAACCGTGCAAGAAACACTTCGGTTTTGAAGGTTAAATACGAAATTAGACATGTTAACATTTGATGAAGAAACATTTTTTTTCCTAAGCAAAAATCTTGTTTATATAAAACCTCAGGCAGCTTATGATGTTGGAGGCTATCGCATAAACCCATTCATCATCCAAAGCTCAATCTTAGGAATTAGACCGCATTACTCATCACCATCACCTGTATGCCATTTCATTTTTCACTTTTACTTCACTTTTACGTTGTCACCACATTGTAATTAAAATGTGCAATTTACATTTTACAGTTACTCCAGACGCTGTTTTCGCCTTCAAGAAAGTCCAAAACTTGCAGTGTTAGGCACGTTTACGCATTGGAGTACCCCGAGGCTTTAGCTCATTTCGCTATTTCTTCAGGAGCATTCACAGATCCTACGGTAACAATTAGAAACCAATTCAACTTTCTATATGATTACAGTTTACTCCTGGATTTTGGAATTTAACATTATCGATATTATTATTACACTTAGGTTCGGGTTTACACCGCGGATAGAATATTTCGGGATCTAAGACAAGCGAAGAAAGAGTTTATCAGAAGTAATGTTCGTGTTCACAAAGGAACAAAGCTTTTGTTGCCAAAGGTGTTTCAACATTACGTTAAAGACATGTCAATGGATGTGTCTAAGCTCATGGAAGCAACAGCTGAGTGTTTACCAGAGGATGCGAGGAGGATCGCTGAGAAATGTTTGAAGGAGAAAAAGAGTAAGAATTTTGAATGGTTGCCGGAAAATTTGAGTTTCCGGTATGTCATTGCCGGCGAATTGGTCGGAGGAAGAAATAAGGCGTGATCGTTTTATTCATTGAAGTAATTTGGTTTTTGACCTCATGATGTGATTAAATAATTTAGTTACAAATTAGTGTTTAGTTTTTTGTTATTCAGACTGGTGGTGGTGGGTGTAAAGCAAGAGTTTTTTTTTCTTTCAAGTGAGATATTGTAAAATTAGTGTTTGTTTGCATAACCAGATTAAACCAATCACTAATTTACGTTTTGAACCGATAGATAGATCAAAATCAAACCGTGTCTTGAATATGGGCCTATTTTTAGATTGAATATGGGCCTTATAATCATTCAAGTAGGGTTTAATAAGTTTTCAAACCCGTGTCTGGAATATGGGCCTCATGTCAGATGGAATATGGGCCTATTATCAGACAGAATATGGGCCTGTTGTCAGATGGAATATGGGTCTGTTGTCAGATAGAATATGGGCCTTATAATCATTCAAGTAGGGTTTAATAAGTTTTCAAACACAATCCAGGGCCTAATTTTGATTTTGACAGTAATACAAGGGTCTGATTAAAAATCTGCTTTCTTGGTTTCTCTCTCGACGCCGATGATTGTTTTCCGGTGAGGAGAAAAAATTAGGTTTTTTTGTTTGTTTGGTTGAGTAGAGATAGAGTAAGCAAAGAAGGAAGGAATCCACATCGTTAATCAGTCTGTTCGTACTTCTTCTCACTTCAGATTGAAATTATTCTATCCATTGGCACTTCACTCAATCTCTAATCAGAGGAAGACGACGGTTAATATGGAGCAACTGGAGAAGTCCGTGGAGGAGAACCCAGACGACCCTTCTCTGCAATTCGAACTTGTAATTTATCACCCGACGATTGTTAAATTCCTTTTCCTATGGATGGATGCTCTTTATATCTGCTCATGAAAAGAAAAATCGCAACTTTATTTGATCCAGGGTTTGTATCTGTGGGATAATGGTGGAGATTCCGAGAAAGCGGCGGAGCATTTTGTGCTGTCGGCGAAGTTAAACCCGAACAATGCGGCGGCGTTCAAGTATTTAGGGCATTACTACTCGCGTGTGACGCTCGATCACAATCGAGCTGCAAAGTGTTACCAGAGAGCGGTGTTGCTAGACCCCAATGATTCTGATTCAGGAGAAGCTCTGTGCGACTTATTTGACAGACAAGGGAAAGAGATCTTGGAGATTGCGGTTTGCCGTGACGCTTCAGAGAAGTCTCCCAAGGCTTTCTGGGCATTTTGCAGACTGGGTTACATTCAGGTTGTTTGATTTTGTTATCATCCCTTTCTCTGCAGTCTCTCTTTTGTTATCTTTGCTTGCTCATCAATGGCTTTGGGTTGTATCGCAGCTTCATCAGAAGAAGTGGTCTGAAGCTGTTCAGAGCCTTCAACATGCAATTAGAGGTTATCCTACCATGTCTGACTTGTGGGAAGTAATTGTCCTTTTCTCTTTATCCTCAGCTATTCTCAAATTAACATTACTCTGTTTTTACTATAGTAACGAATTTGACAAGGATCTTTTTGTTGTTTGTTGTTGTCTGTCGTTGCAGGCTCTGGGCCTGGCTTACCAGCGACTTGGAATGTTTACTGCTGCTATCAAGGTAAAAAGATGCTGTTTCCATCTTGTACTGTCCCAGTTTTTTTGAAGTTGTTGTTGATTCCGTTGTTACCTTGATTCTTAATGATACAACAGGCGTATGGCCGTGCCATTGAATTAGATGAGAACAAGATTTTTGCATTAGTGGAGAGTGCAAACATCTTTTTGATGCTTGGTTCATATAGAAAGGTAAGCTTTGTATCCGCGTCTCTTCATAATTGACCTCTTTAGAGAGTTTGTTCGTGTGGCTCCCCAAGTCTCATATAGTATTTGTATAGGGTGTGGAGCTCTTTGAGCAAGCGCTGAAGATTTCACCTCAGAATGTTTCTGTGCTCTATGGTCTTGCTTCTGGATTGCTTAGTTGGTCAAAGGAGTGCATAAATTTGGGCGCATTTGGATGGGCAGCTTCGTTATTGGAGGTAAATGATACTAATCTCTTCTGTTTTTTTCCTGCTCTCATTTATATTGAATAAACCTAACTGCGAGAACAACTATCCACTGTAGGATGCTCGTAAAGCTGCAAAAGCAAATAGTGAGCTGGCCAGCAACATGTCCTGTATATGGAAATTGCATGGAGATATTCAGGTACTGAGGCCTGCCTTGTACTTTACGTATCAGCTTGTTTGTTATCTGCGCATCTAATGTTTGTTTTGTTTCACGAGCAGCTTACGTATGCAAGATGCTTTCCGTGGTCTGGTGAAATTGGAAACTCAGAATTCACTTTAAAGACATTTAACGATTCGATCCTTTCTTGGAGAAGCATCTGTTACTCAGCTGCATTGTCAGCCAAATCTTCTTACCAGCGAGCTCTACACTTAGCTCCTTGGCAAGCCAATGTTTATACTGACATAGCCATAACTTTTGATCTCGTTTCAAGTTTGAGAGATGACTCTGAAACTTCTAGTTCTTGGTAAGATTGTACTGAGCGTTCTTTGGCATTTTCTTAGTTTTGGATGCGTCCCCTTGTAATAGTCTATAGTTCTATCAGGAAGCTACCAGAAAAGATGGCTCTGGGAGCGTTATTGTTGGAAAGCGACAACTCGGAGTTCTGGGTTACTTTGGGTTGTATGTCTGATAATAGTGCTTTGAAACTACATGCGTTGATCCGGGCATTGCATTTGGATGTATCTTTAGCCGTTGCTTGGGCTTTTATGGGCCAGGTATTGTGCCTTAACATTATTGTCGTTCTCGCTTTGTATTGGATGTCCTTGCCTTGCTTGCATTCTGGATTTACCTAAGTTTATGGTTTCAGTGACAGTTTCCCACTTTTGGTTGTAATCTCGGTTGTATTGTACAGGTCTTCAGGGAGTCGGATGAAATGAAACTGGCAAAGCTGGCTTTTGATTCTGCTAGAAGCATAGATCCTACACTTGCGCTACCTTGGGCCGGATCAGCTGATACTTATGCTAGGTAGATGCTGATTATGTGAATCTTCATGTTTTCGAACTAAATTTTTGCCTCCATAGACTAATTAACACCTCAGGGAGTCAACATCAGACGAGGCTTTTGAGAGTTGTCTACGAGCTGCTCAGATATCACCGGTAAGTGCTGCTTTAACTGTGGTTTACTTACCGTGTTGGCTTTAATTAAGACATGAGATCTTCTGCGCAGCTTGCGGAGTTCCAGGTTGGTTTGGCATGGCTTGCTTTGTTGCAGGGAGATATTTCATCTCCGCAGGTATGAACACACTTATATTCTAATAACTACACATGATTATTTTTGTTCGGGGTTAGGTTTAAGTAATTCTCCCTCTTGAAACGGCGTTGCAGATTTTTGCTTGCATTGAGCAGGCGGTGCAGCGCTCCCCTGATAACCCAGAATCCCATAATCTCCATGGGCTAGTTTGCGAGGCACGACGTAGTTATCATACTGCCATTGCTTCTTACAAGCTAGCACTAGCTGCAATGAGTGTTTGCCCTGACAATTCAGTGAAATCTCATGCTGGAAAAATATCTATTAACTTGGTCAGGTCGCTCAGCAAGGTAAGATCCCCACCCTTCTTTCTGTTGTCAACATGTTTTTTAAGGCTGTTATGAGATGTGATTGGTAAAGTTCATTCAATAAAATCAGTAGAAATGCCAATTATGTAACTATCATACTCATTTGAAGTATATTTGCAGGCAGGACGATTCAAAGAATCTGTTATGGAATGCGCAAATTTGAAGTCAAAAGGTTTGTACTTCGACTGTTCATCTTTCAGTTTGAAGACTGGGATTTTTTGCAACTTTTACTAAAATTTAGTCAAATGTTTCTAATTTTACTAATGTCTGGGTTAAATTTTCCAAAAGGTTTGCTTGATGCCGGAGGTTTGCAAATATATGCTTTCTCTCTGTGGAAGATTGGTGATAATGATTCGGCTCTCTCAGTGATCCGTGATCTGGCTGGTAGGATTTCCACCATGGAAAAAGCCTCAATAGCCTTCCCAATCAGCTTCATCTGTAGTCTTCTTTATTGCATATCTGGGTTAGACTCTGCTATCACCAGCATCCAGAAGATGCCAAAGGATTTCTTCCAGAGTTCGAGAATCAGCTTTATAGTATCTGCCATCCATTCTCTTGATCAGAGTGATAGACTTCAGTCTATTGTTGCGAGCACTCGTAGCTTCATAACATCACAAGAAGAAATAGCTGCAATGCACTATTTGATAGCACTCAGCAAATTGGTGAGCCTTTTGATCTCGATTATCATGTCCATCCCTTTTTGATTTGGAATGCTGTATTAGTTTAAATCTGAATCAAAATGACGCCACCTTGAATATTGCAGCTGAAAACTGGAGAAGGAGATTTACTTGGGTTTGAGAAGGGGATTGCTCACCTCAGAAAAGCTCTTCATATGTACCCTCATAGTAATTTGTTAAGGTGGGTTTTGATCAGTACCAGAGGTTATATACATAACGCGCTAGGTTTTAACTGTGTAATGATATGTTGTTATTGTAAGCCTAACTCGGAGATATAATTTGTTGGAATTAGGAACCTGCTTGGATATATCTTGTTAGCTGGTGAAGGAACAAAAGATGCCTCTACTGCTAGTAGATGCTGTATTATAAATGTCTCTGAGTATGGAAATAAAGAAGGTTTGAAGTCCGCACTGGAGGTTCTTGGTGGAGGATCGGTTGCTTGCAATGCAATTGGTAATGCAGCTCCAAGGTTCTCATTCCCGACATGCCATTGTCAGTGTCTGAATGCTCCTGTTGTTGTTGTGGAACTGCAGAGGTATTTGAGAATCTTTCTACATCATTTTAGCATTTTCAGAATCCGAATTGACCCCCTCTTAAAGTGGTCTCTGGTTCTTTTTGATCTACAACTCAATTGTTTTCTAATACGCAGATTCTTGCATCAAGAACCTTGGAACAGCGATGTAAGATACTTGCTTATTCTGAATCTCGTGCAGAAGGCCCGTGAACAGAGGTTTCCTCGCCAGCTTTGTAGTGCTATTGAGCGTCTAATCTCTGTGGCACTCTCTGATGAGACATGTTCGAAGGAAGGCGAATATCAAAAGTTCCAGCTTTTGCTTTGTGCTTCAGAGATCAGTTTGCAGAAGGGAAATGTAGCAGAGTCCATTGACCATGCTCGAAAGGCTTCTTCCATTTCGCTTCCATGTAGCTACCTATTTCTAGGACATTTGCAACTTTGCCGCGCCTATGCAGCAAAAGGGAGCACAAGAAACGTGCAAGAGGAGTACAGAGCGTGCTTGGAGCTCAAGACTGACTCAAATATCGGCTGGATCTGCCTGAAGCTCATAGAAACTCAGTTTGATCTGGAACCTGATACGAACCTTTTAGAGATGAGCATACAAGAAAGCTCGAGACAGAAGAAGGATTCATGGAAAGAGTGGATGGCTGTATACAGTTCAGCACTTGGCTTAGTTTCTATCGGGAAGAAAGACTTTTTCTCAGCAGAGGAGTTCATTGCACAAGCTTGTTCGTTGGGTAATTCAGAGAGCTGTCTACTTCTCTGCCATGGTGCTGTCTGCATGGAGCTGGCTAGACAGTTTAATGACTCTCAGTTCCTCTCACAAGCTGTAAAGAGTTTAAGCAAAGTTCAAGCGAGCGCCTTGTTTCCTTTGCCTATCGTGTATACATTATTAGCTCAAGCACATGGAAGCCTTGGCTCTAAAGAGAAATGGGAGAAGAATCTTCGTCTTGAATGGTTCTGCTGGCCACCAGGTACTGTATGACTCTGTTCTATCTTCTTTCTTTTTTTTCACCTGACTTTGACTTTGCACACAACTGAACATGTTCTTTGATTTGTGGACAGAGATGAGACCTGCAGAAGTTTACTTCCAGATGCATATACTTGCAAGACAATCAGAAAACAGACCTGAAACTGCTTCAGGGATTGAAAACTGTCAAACCCCTGAGAAATGGGTTCTTAGGGCGATTCACACTAACCCTTCTTGTATGAGATATTGGAACGTCTTGCCTAAGCTTGTTGAAATTCCCATTTGCTAAGAACTAAAAGTTGAAATCCAATTCCAGAACAAGAAGATGAGAGCAAAACAGTGGAATATGATTCATGTACATCGAAACTACATGCAGTTGTTCTTTTTTTCCTTTTTAAATGAGAAATTAAAGCTAGACTTGCACATGCGCTGCTTTCTTGATTTGCGTACGAAACAAACAAATAAGAGAGGACTTGTTATTGCTTGCAAAGTCATATTTACAGCAAATTGTTGTCCCAAGTAAAACAAAAAATATAAATAAAAAAGACGAAACAAACAATAAAGCCACAACAACAATGGATGGGCTGATTCTTATTAACGCATCATCATAAGAGCAAATTCATCAAAACTTAAAACTCCATCAGCATTGAGATCAAAAGCTTTGATCATGACTATGCAATCATCGGTGGTTCTTGACTCGCCAAGCTTCATTAGCATCATCTTCAAGCTTCTCGGGGTAATACAATCTTCTCCTTCAGCAATATACATTCTAAACGCTTCCATTATCTTGCTCTTCTTATCTTCCTCTGTAGATTCGTCACTCCCTTTGATTAGCTGAGCAAACTCCTCAAAATCCAACATTCCATCTCCGTCCATATCAGACAGTTTAATCGCTGCTTCGGCTTCTTCATCCGACACTTGCTCTCCCAATGTCTTGAAACTCTTCTTAAGCTCCTCTGCAGAGATTCTACCGTCTCTGTTTGCATCCATGTAAGCAAATACAGCTTCCAAGTCTCTGTTCTTGTCCTCACCGTTCCTGTCTGAAGACAATTGTTCGCAGAGTTTCATGAAAGATGAAGATAACTGACGTTGAGTAGTCTTCATGAGTATAATTGTTTTTTGGTTTTTGTTTAGAGTGTATTCTACAAGTTTTCTTCTTTTTTTTTTGATTTAGGAGTTGAATGAGAAAATGGTCTGAAGGGTTTCTACATATATATAGGTGTGTTTCAAGTCAAGAATAGAATAAGACTTGTTTAAAAACAGAAATTAAAACGCATCAAACGTGGGAGATTCAAGATTAGTCGATAGATCTAGAAGTAGAAAAATATTATTAGTCCTTCAGATCTAGAAGAAAACGTATTATTAGTTTTTAGATCTAGTAAAAGAAAGACTTAGTACATATATATTTAGTTGTCCCATCCTCATGTTTAAAACACGGTTATTCTTCGTTTTAAAATTTAGAAATTAGGATTAAGAAAGGACATTTCGGTTATTATCATAAATTTGACGAGTGCCATTTGTTCCAATTTCTAACATACCATTTTATACGGTCGTATACTCGTATATATATAAGCTATATACAAGAATGCATATTGTCTTTATCTATACAGTAAACTATACAGAAAAAAAATAAGATGAATGTTTTTACAGCAAAAAACACAATAATTGGACCTTATGCATTTTAGTTTCTAAAATAAATCACATAGCTTTGATAAGTTTTGGAAAAGTTTATGGTTGCTTGTTTTTATTTTATTTCAATTGGTTGATATATTATTTTGTTCTGAGAGTTGAAACTTTGATTTATTTATGTTTTGTGGGGGTTTTCAATAGATTTAGACTATTATTTCAGTAATTATTAAGAAATAGTTTTTCAGTAGTTGTGCATGAGCCAGCTATATACACAAAGGACAAAGCCAACAATAACGTTGATTAATACTTAGTTAAAAGCAATATATGAAGAAAGTCCATTTCAATTTCTTACCAGCTCTTATCCTAGTCTTCATGGTTGTTCCAAAATCTCGATGGGCCTCTGCTTTTCTTTATCAATTTCTTCAGAACCTTAAGCTTATATATACCATGTTCTTTACATAATGCCTCTACAGTAAAAAAAATTTATGGCTCATCTAGATTCTCCAACTTCGTCTGGTTGATTAAGAATATGATATTGGTCAGGGAAAGAGGTTCGGTCAGGAATGTGATCTTATTAGATTCCTCAATTGTTACCGTTATGTGAATTATCTTACGAAAGCTCATTTTGAACATAGTTGTCATATTAATGATTGCACATGCCCAGCTTTTGTCTTGAAATGTGTGCTTAATGGAATATCAACATATTCATGGTCAAAATCTCAATGGAATCTAGAGATTCATTTTGAAAACAAAAGCAAAAAGTTTCACATATAATTAGAAGAACGATCGTGTTTATTGCGTCAGAAGCCATTATATTATATACATCAATCAAAAATGAAACAAAAATAAGGAAAAATAAAAAAAGAAGAAGCTACAAGACAGAAACAACAATGGAGGCGGCGAATTATAACTCTTTAACGCATCATAAGCGCAAACTCATCAAAGCTTAGAACTCCATCAGCATTGAGATCAAAAGCACGAATCATAACTCTGCAATCATCAGTGGTTCTTGACTCACCAAGCTTCTTCAGCATCATCTTCAAGCTTTTCGGAGTGATACACTCTTCACCTTCTGCTATATACATTCTAAACGCTTCCTTGAGCTCAACCTTCTTCTCTTCCTCTGAAACTTTATCGTCTCCTTTGATTAGCTGAGAAAACTCCTCAAAATCCAACATCCCATCTCCGTCAGTATCAGACAATCTAACCGCAGCTTCGGCTTCTTCATCAGAGAGTTGCTCTCCCAATGTCATGAAACTCTTTTGAAGCTCATCTGCAGAGATTCTACCGTCTCTGTTTGCGTCCATGTAAGCAAAAACAGCCTCTAAGTCTCTGTTCTTGTCCTCACCGTTGTTGCTGTTATGTTGTTGTCTCTCTGCGGCTGAGGAATCTTTCCTCTCCGGTGAGAGTTTCCGGCAGAACTTCTTGAAAGATGATTGAGGTTTAGTATTGTTCATGATAGGAAAAACAAAAAGTGTTTGTGTTTAGTTTTTGTTTGGTTTTGGTTGTTTTGAAATGGAGACTGAATGAGGAAATGTTGGGAAAAATGGTTTCTATTTATATAAGGTATATAGGCGTGTGACAAGTTGTAAAAACTAAAAGAAGAAAGTGTGTAACAGACGTGGGAAATTAGTGTGTTAGATATTTTGACGTTTTAAATGGTTTAAATAGATTTTTAAAAACACGCTTTTTCTTCCTTTTTAATTGGGTTTAATAATAACTTAAAAGACTAAAGACAAGGGGTAGTTTAGGAAAACTATTAAAATACGAAGACCAGCCACTAGTTTTTGACACTTGCATCAACACGAGATTTATCGGTGGGCGCTTGGAAGCTTCACTTCTTTCGTCGTATTATTATCTTCCTTTTGTTGTTGTTTTCTCTTTAATTAATATGCAAAGATAAATATTGAGTTGGCTACGTGTATGGATATGATTGCTTCCAAATTGTTTTATTAACTAGTATTACCCGGTGCTATGCACCGAAAAAATCACTTGATTATATATGATAGACAAATATAAAATACACCTAAATTTTAAATAGTAAGAGAAACTGAATCCATGGAGAAGAAGGGAGAGAAGAATTGAGAGAATAAAGAAAACAATGAATTAACTAACTAAGAAATTTATCTCACTGTTTTATTCAATCTGAATCATGATGAAAAAATTAGAGAATATTAAATGAATGAACAAAAATTAGAGAGTATTAAAATGAAATCTAGTAAAGAGTCGTCATTAACCTGTTTCCAAAAACAAAAACAAAAAGTAAAATGTCATTGTTAACCTGTTTTCATATTTTTTATTACAGATAATAAGCATGAAACTGCAGAAAGAAAAAAAAAGAGCAGTGGAATCTGTAAAAATCAAAAAGAAAGAATGAAAATAAATATATAAATGAAAATGTATATAAGAAACCGAAATTATATCGATGGAGAAGAAAGGAGAGAAAAAGAGAAAATAATAAAACAATGAATTAATTGGAAGTTATATAGAGAATGAAAAAGCCTTAAATTATTATATGATTGGGGAACTGGTATGTGAAAGAGAGTAAAAAAAGATGAATTTACAGTTCATCGTTATAAAATGGTTTAAAGAAGATATTAAAATTGAAATCCATTTTTATCAAACAAAAAAAGGAAAACACTGAAACAGCAGCGGTAATAAAATTTAACGTGAGATCATGGATGTAATTAAACAGATATTTTTTTGTTTTATTTTAAATTAGTTTAAATAAATATAATAAAATAAAATAAATTATAACTGAAAAAATGATACATGTCACATGGACAATTGTCAATTGACTTGTGATTTATAAGTATAAAGATTTACGTAAATCGAGGCACTCGTATGCACTATTGCACATATTATCGAGAAGTTTCGGTTAAACAGTTTTTTATTGGTAAAGTATTCCAGGTGATGAGAGGTTAACGGTCAATTAAACGGTCGCAGACCGGAGCATTTAAGGCAATGTTTGTTTAGTTTATGAATAATAATCCTTAAACAAAGATGAAACGCAACGTCGACAACCCAATATGACAATATCTAAATTGGCCCAATGTTATTGACCCAGTCCAGTTACATTCTAGAAACAAAGAAACTCATCAGAAAATTCATAAAGATCTTTGAGTGTTTTGTAAGTAAACGTAGCAGTCTTTGTAAAACGAATTTTTTTTAGCATCCAGATTTTTGTTATTCAAATTTCAGTAGTAATTTATAGATGCATGAACTCGAAAGTCGCAACACTACCAAAATGATATTTACAAGTAGAATCAAGAAAATTAAGATAGTATTAACATCTTAACAAATGCGTCAAAAGGAGAAGAAGACACTAAAAAAACCCAAAACAGATTGCTGCAATTAGACGAAAGATGATGGGTCTTTACAAAAAAAGCCATGACAAACTAAAAAAGAACATTCACTTTCTCTCACCCTTGCTTGCTTATATATATAACATCATCATTCTACTTAAAAACCATCTGTATCATATATATTTATATATTCTATATATACTTTAAAAAAAAAACTAGATTCTTCTTATCTCAAGCGTTAGCATCACAAGATCATTTATCAAAATACTTTTTGCAACTTAGAAAGACCTTAGAACAGAGCTGTGGCTTTGTTGTCACTTGGTCAGGCTTTCCTGTGTCTGTTCTCTCTGCCTTCTCTTAAGCTTCTTCCTCTTCGGTATTCGATCTCTGCATCAGAGCTTGAGAAACCAGCGGGATAGCTTCTGCTTCCTTTTACAGATCCCACTCTTGATAACAGAGCCTCTTCATCCGCATGGATCCTGTTTCTTGGTCTGTGATCTAATGAGCCACACAATATGATATACCATTAGCACAGTACCAACCAAGTAATGATAATGAAATGGCTCAGCAACCAAGTACACAACATATACTCACCTTTGTAGCCATTTGATGATGCCTTTGGTGAATGAAAGTCTACAGCTTGTGAATCAATATCAGCTTCTGATTTGGGGCTCGTTTGGCTCAGCAAACTCGCTTCTCTTCTTAGCAGCTTTTGTCCATCGCTTGGCGAGTAAGCCGCCGCCGTGCGTAAAGAATCGTCCATCACATCAGTGATCTCTACATACTGACTAGTTGTGATGACCTCATCTGCACTAAACCCAAAGGAAGCCCTGTAAGCTTCCAACTCCTCCATGTCTTGCTTGGGACTTCTCGTCTGCCTGTTCTGGCTCCCGTTTCCATAACCATTTGCAGGATACACGTCCGAATCCTTGGACACGCTTAACCTTCCACCGTTCTGTGGCACCGAAGGGTCGTGATCCAGGTAAAACTTGGCAAAAGTCGCGGGGCAGAAGAAGTTCGACTCCTGCAATGGCGTCGAGGCTCCGTTGGTGTCATACCCGTTCTGAGGTGACAATAGTCCGTCTCCAGAGATCGGTGACCTAAGAGTGCTGGCTGGACTTCCAGGGTAAAGAGAATACGTGGAGTGAAGATCGTTACTAGGGTTCTTGAGATCCATGGAGGAAGTCAAGAAGCGAGCATAAGGCACATCAGGTGAAGAAGGAGTGGTGAGATGTGCAAGCTCTGGAGGAGGAGTGAAAGGAGCAGTGGATGGCTCGGTGGTGAAGGTAGAGAAAACAGGCGGTGAGACCAATTGGGTTTCGTGAGCGTATGGTCCAGTGGCGTACATACTCGACGAAGGACCTCCCGGTGAGTTTGCAGCGAGTGATAAGTAGCAGTTCGGTGACTGAGCTGTTGAAGGAAGAGCCGAGTTGGTGAAGGAAGCAGGAGAAGACGGTGGAGCTAAAAGAGAGAGATTGATCCCTCCTGCAGCTTGGTTAGTTAAGACACCGCCTTGATGAGCTCCGTTTGGTTGTGCGGCTGAGGCATTGCCGCCTTCGGTCATCCGAGATGCAGGCACGATTCGTTTTCCGCCTTTCTGTGACTTGAAACAAGACAACACTCCTAAACAGCCTCCCCACCTTTTCCTCTGCAAAAGAACACACCTTTTCAGTGAAAGTTTCAAGTTTTAATGCGCTTAAGGAACAAAACAAAATGGAGCTGAAACATGTAGACAAGATCTTGAAAGCAAGAAGATAAATTAGCATCAACTGTTTCTACTAAACAATGGATCTAAAGATTGTTCTCCCAGAAAAAAGGGTAATTTATAAGCTTACACACACCGAATCTAAGATCACACAATCCCTAGAAAGCTTAAATTTTTTTCCTAATTGAATGGTTAGTATCTAAGGAAAAATGTCACCTTTGTTTCATTCAAGTAAAGCTTTTTAGCCTAAAGCTGGGTTTTACAGCAACATAATGATCAAAGGGGAGACTCAACATAGACCCTAACGAACATTGCTCCATCAAAGTGAAAAAATTTGTTAAAAGCTAGATTTTTGTGAATAGAGTTGAATAGTCAGATCTAAGAAGCAAGATCTGAACAGCTTGAACCTGAGACTGAGAGAACTAAAACCCCACGAACTCGAATTTAAACGAAATAGAGAAGAAAAAGAGTAAAGATGAGAAGAAGAGAAACCTGTTCCTGCTGAGGAAATCTATGCTGCTCTGAGCCCATTAGTTCTCTGTTGGTCAGAAAATCACTGAGTTTTTTTCTGAGTAGGGTTTCAAGTCAAAGACTTAATCATCTGCGTTTTCTCCATTTTTTCTCACAATTTTCTTCCAGCTTACTGATACGATCCAGAACTACCCAGAGAAAATGAAAAAAAGGAAACAGATTTGGGAAAGACAAAGCTGAATTTTTTTACACTGGAGTGGGGAGAGATTAAGGAAGAAAAAAATGAAGGAGTAGAAGATTATAATAAAAAAAGGGGAAATTTTTAGAAGGGAAGAGTAAAAATGGAAATCTGCACTGATGCAATCGGCATGAAAAGATGATCCTTACGATGGAAAAGCATTTCTATTTTTAATCAGAATGTGACTGACCAGAGAGAAAGAGAAAGATAAAACAAAACATAAAACACACACACACAAAAGCTCAAGGAAACAAAAGAAAAAGAAGAAAAGAGAAAAGAAGAAAGAGAAAAGAAAAAAAGAAAAAAAAGGGAAAAAAAAACTCTGTTAATGTTAAAAATCTCTTCGGTTCACATACTCTCTCTCTCTCACCCGTGTTCTTTATTAGGCTTTTGAAGAAAATAGCAAAATTAGTTTATGAGTTTTCGGAATGATATTCGTACTCATTTTTGGGAAAAATGGGAATTTTTAAGGTTTCTCAATGTACTTAAGTCGGTTAATTATATGGATAAATTAGACATCTAAACACATAAAAAGTTATTCCTTGAGCACGTGAAGGTCGTTTACTATAATAAGGGTTTAGGAACATGATTTTTATTTCTTTTTGGTTTGGTCTTAAAAACACGTCCAAAATCAGTGTAACTGCTAAGTCAAGCGACTATTGAAGTTAATAAATGCAATACTTATCAAGACAGTAAGATTGTTGTGATTATCTTGTCTTTCAGAGTTGAAAACAAAGCTTTGATTTTTAAAAAGATTTTGGCCAAACAAATTATAAATAAGGAATTTTGTGGTTTATATATAAAAAAGTAACAAATTAGCAAGGAGTATTCAAGAAGAAATTGGTAAATAGTTGAGTTGTTCTGATTCAAAGATTTGTTTTGAAATCATTCTTGTGCAACTTGTATATAGTAGCATTATTGATCATATATAGGAAATTGAGGGGATTAAATAAAAAAGGTGATTCTTTTCCCAAAATTTTTGTTTTGATCTTTATGAATTGTCTTTAGGTTTTGAGGGTTCCAATAAAGACATTAAAGCAGAGGAAAAAGAGGGCCTAGTAATAGTATGGTACCTAGTTGTAGGATTTGGATCTTTTTTGGGGTCTGGATTCATATTAGTGGGTCCTATCATTCTCATTCTTTCCTCCTCTTCCTACCTCAGTAAATTTCTCCTTTTTTTTTTTTTACTAAAATCCAGTAAACTGCTCTCTTTCTAAAACTGTCCTTCTAACTAGTGACAAATAATTATTTACTGCTCCAGTGAATGAATCACCACCATCTTTTTATTTTAATCAAGCAGTTGTATAGCTTTAAACCACATCACATGTACTTTCTTGTATTTTTTTAAACACACATCACATGTCCTGAGTTACGCTCGTTCCTACGAAAATGAAACACTTGGAACTGGTCCTTGTTAAAAAAAAATTGATGCCGTTACATCATAGTATATAAATATAATACAAAAGATCGGTTCTGATATACGATCAATTTATATAAAATGATTATAATCACATGGTTCAAGTTGACATTTTCTGTATCTCTTGTATTTTCGATATTCAAGAATGGCCTTGTTCTTAAGCAAAGAACGATTTCTAGCCTTTTCCATAGGCCCAAAATGCTAAAAAAAACTTTTGAAAAACGAATGCAAGTATATTATAGTATATGGCACACGAAAGGAAAGAAGCGTTTACGTGACGAGAGAAATTTGTTTTTACTTTTTTTTTTTGCAAGTCTTAAAAAAATCAGTTTTGGATGTGTAGTTTCAAATTCGATAAAGCACATAGTTTTTATACTTTAGTCTCAGCGAGCTCAACGTCTTTCAAATCGATATGCTCTATACCTTCCTTGAGTAGCTTAATCTCCTCTTCGGTCATACTGTGTTTCCCGTGAGGCGTCGACTTTGAATTTCTCTGTTTCTCTAGATCAACCGCCCAGCTATAGATCACCATTCCGACAATCGCCAAGACCATCCCGGCGATGTTCTTGAATGTCATCTCGGAATCAAAGAGAAGCCATCCCAAGGTAAGGACGCAGACTGTTTTCATGTGGCCTAGAACCTGGAACGATGTTGCTGAGAATCTTCCTATGCAGAGATACTGGCTTATGTTACAGAAAACGGCCAATGCGCAGGAGAGAAGAATGCAGAACTGCAAAAAGTGGGGAGAGATCATAAGAGTAAGGACATAGTATATTGGGTTGAGTCATCTGAATCTTCGACAAGTTGTGAGAAATCACTTACGATGGCGCCGTAAGTCATCTTGTAAGTAGTAATGAAATTGCCACTCAAGAAATAGTCAACAAAGGGTCCAAAGATGAGGAGTGAAAGTGCTTGGATTGGAGCTGTTTTGCTCAGCAATTCAAATGATCCCACTGAGTATTTCTTCTGCAAAGAGCCTATCGACTGCAACATAAACAAAAGGAAAAACTAATCAAACAAACACTTGACACACAACAATAATATTCTGAAGCCATTTCTGGATAAACGAAAGGATCAAAAATGCTCCTTTTTTTTTCAAGATTTCAGCAAGAACTACAGAATCGTTTCTCTCAGATGCATGGACGATAACAAACATAGCTTTTGATTTCAGATCTACGCAGGAGAATCTGTCTACTATATACACTGAGATACAACTGATCTGAGAAAGCAAGATCGATGAAAGCAGGAGAAGGAAAAAGGTCAGATCTTAACATAAAGAAGGAGACGGCGTGAATAATACTTACAATCTGCTGCAGAGATGTGGAGAAAACGGCGGTGCATGCACAGATGAAACCTTTGGCATTAACCTTGACATCAGTCACTGTGCAGATCCCAACACCAACAACCACAACCATCACAGACGCCTTCACTTCTCTAGAGTAATGCTTGCTATGCAGAATCCATTCCAACACGCATACCACAGGAATCATGCTCAATTTCGAAATCTATGAATCAAATGATGGCGGAGAATCAAGACAAAGGATCTAAAATCCGAATACAGAAGAACAAGCGCAGATAAAAATTCCATGGAGATTATACCTGATAGAAGCCAACAGAGTTGAGCATGAGGCTGAAGTTCATGGCAGCGATGGAGACGTTAGCGACGATTGAGAACCAGAGAAGCTCCCAGAGAGGAATCTGCTTTGGTGCCGATAGTCCCGTAGCGTTTGACACCATACCAACAATCGCGGTGAGCGCGAAGTGGAATCCCGTTAACGTCGTCGCTGCGGGATAATCAAAAGAAAGTAATCGTCTCAGGTTCATCACGAAGCTTTTCGGCAGTAAGAGATCCAAGAAGTTAATGGGAGATTATGAGATCAGGAAGAAGACGTACCGAAGCTAAACCCGAAACCAGAGGAAGACATGAGCTGTTTATTAGCCATGATGATTCCGACGGAGCTGACGACATTCATAGCCCATGCGCCGACGTCGGAGACAGGCGACTGTTTCTTCTCGCTCTCCGTTTTCTCCATTTCCGACTCGATTTGGATTCAACCGTAAACACAAATTGAATCGTTCGAGTTGCGAGAGCACCGACACTATCAGATCTCGATTCGATTAAAAACCTCGTGCAAGCGAAGACGAGATCTGAATCTCGATTCGCCTGCGGATTAGAGAAGCAAAACACAGGAGGAAGAAAAAGGGAAAATGAGATCTGGAGAAAGTCGATTCACGCTGTTGGGATTCTTCGTGGAAGCGACGAAGAAAGCCAAAAAGCGCAAACACAGAAATACACAAACACGTCTCTCTCTCTCTCTCTCTCTCTCTCTCGAAGTTTTCTACTTATTGTGTACACTGCTTCACTCGTCGTCGCTGGCTATCACAAGCAAGCGTCCACCATTGATGCTTTTTTCTTTCACTTTGGATTGTAAAAAATTATTTTTTAGTTCTCGGGCTCTCTAATATTTTTTATATTACAGAGAATCGTTTAACAATAATTATTCATTGACGTGTGTCGTTTACCATATTTGACCTTCTTCTTCCTTCTTATGTGGCCCAGTTAGTTTTATTAATGTAATTTTTTATATATAATCAACTTCCGGTTGATATTTAATCAACAACATTTAATTACTCCCTCTGTTTTTTAAAAATAAGATGTTTTATAAAAGCAGACGTTCAACGGTAATTTTTTCCCGACTGACGCTCAACGGTAATTAAAACGGAGTGCGCCTTTTGTGATTCAGCCCTTTTTTTTTTTTTTAAAGATTTACATTAAAAAATATAGTATATTATTATCAAACGAGTTATTATTTATTAACACAACAGCCTCATGATTTACAGAAGTAAACTGCTAATGCTGCTTCACATGTGAACATGTAATGCAAGTTTACCTCTTTTTTCTATACAGACCCTTTCTCCATCCTTAATTATATTATTCAATTTATGTATATCAGTATATGATCATATATATTTAAATATTTTTAAAAGAAAAACATTACTTTACTGTTTGCAAATCATACTTTAACCACTAAACCGAATTATTTTGTCTACTGTTCCAGCTTGCTATTTGCGCGTGCAGTATTTATCTTAAAAGAAAGAAAAGAAAAAATTTCACAACAAATGATCAGTTTTGTATGTGTAATTTTTTTTTTCTTCAAATAAGCAGATTTAAAAGACAGCTAATGCCTTGTTATTATTAATCCTTTTTTAAGTGGACAAAGCCTGCAAATCTTAGCCACAGGCAAGAAACAGCTAAATAGATACCTCCGGTCTCATATACAAATCAACCTTTGTCGGTCGAAGAGTGTTTCTCTGCGCCAGGTGGCGGTACAAGCCTTTGGGTTGTAATAGTTAATTTGTTAAACCGTTTTGATCTTTAGTTTGCTGATTTGTGTGTGTTTGTGTTTGGACAGGTCTCTATAACGTTTGCTAAGATTCTCTTGCAAGTAACGAGACCTAGAACGGCGGTTCTCAGAAACTTATATACAGAATTAGATTTAAGGAAGGATAAGCAGTCAAAGTGGATTAGCTAATGACGAAGAAGATGATTGCTCTCTAAGTGTAAAGTGTTGTACAGTAGAGTTACGAAAAACAGAGTATCTTTCCTCGAACTCTCTACAGTTTCTGTGTGTTGTCGGTGGTCAAAATTAGGTGAAGTCAAACCCAAAAAAAAAAAATGATTGAGGCCCCACAGTTATGTTCTACAAGGCTCAAATGGATCAAAAGGTCGAACCCGAAATGGGCTAGATTCAAAGTGGGCTACTCCCTAATGTCGTCAATGAATACGTCATGAAGAATGCAAGTGGGTGGGGTCCATAAATGCGTCCTCAATGACGTCCACATTCATGAGAACGAAAGAGAAAGAAGAAGTTGCTTTCCTAATTCTCTCATACACTGTTCAACGTGTATATATATACATACATTTGCGGATATATCCATCTTAATCCACATTTCACGGAGAGACTTGAAAGTGTTTTTAAGAGAGAAAGAAAAGAACAAAATCCGGATTTTTAACTCCACCGTCGGAATTCATGGCATTGGAAAACGCGATCACGAAACAGAGTATCCCTCTCCTCACGCCTTACAAGATGGGAAGATTCAATCTTTCCCACAGGTATGTGTTCTTCTTTGTTCGGTGTTTGATCAAAATTCCCAGCTGAATTAACAAGTTTGATCATTGATTCAGGGTTGTTCTAGCACCATTGACGAGACAAAGATCATACGGAAACGTTCCTCAGCCTCACGCTGTCTTATACTACTCACAGAGAACGACTCCAGGAGGTTTTCTCATCTCTGAAGCCACCGGAGTTTCAGATACAGCTCAAGGGTAAAAACTAAACCATTAAAGTTTAGGTTTTTATTTTTGTGGGGTTTTGATCTGAAACTAAAACTCCAACATCTGTGTGATTTTGTTCTTGAAGATATCAAGATACTCCTGGGATATGGACTAAAGAGCATGTGGAGGCATGGAAGCCGATCGTAGATGCTGTTCATGCCAAAGGTGGCATCTTCTTCTGCCAAATCTGGCATGTAGGCCGCGTTTCTAATCGAGGTTTGCTTTTTGTCATCTTTAGAGAATCCTTTCAACAATCTTTTAGTGTATTATTGAGTTATATATGATTGTGTGTGTGTGTGTGTGTGTGTTTTCAGGTTTTCAGCCAAATGGGCAAGCTCCAATCTCTAGTACAGACAAGCCATTGAAGCCTCAAATCCGTGCTAACGGCATCGACGAAGCTCTGTTTTCACCTCCAAGACGGCTACGCACCGAAGAGATCCCCGGCATTGTCAACGACTTTAGGCTTGCAGCAAGAAACGCTATGGAAGCTGGTAAAGCAAAATTCTTGGAAGCGTTGGAGTAAAAGATAGCTATTTCAAGATTCTTATATGTTTGTTTGTTTATTTAGGCTTTGATGGAGTCGAGATCCATGGCGCTCACGGCTATCTGATCGACCAGTTCATGAAGGACACGGTGAACGACAGAACAGACGAGTACGGTGGATCATTACAGAACCGTTGCAAATTCGCTCTGGACATAGTCGAAGCCGTGGCCAACGAGATCGGTCCGGACCGTGTTGGAATCAGGCTCTCTCCGTTCGCAGACTACATGGAGTCCGGAGACACGAACCCGCAAGCATTAGCGTTACACATGGCGGAATCACTGAACAAACACGGGATCCTCTACTGCCACGTGGTCGAAGCAAGGATGAAGACGCTTGGAGAGATATCAGCGTGTCCTCACACGCTTATGCCGATGAGGAGAGCCTTTCAGGGGACTTTCATCTCCGCGGGAGGCTTCACGAGGGAAGACGGGAACGATGCCGTGGCAAAGGGACGGACCGATCTCGTGGCTTACGGTCGGTGGTTTCTGGCGAACCCTGATCTTCCCAAGAGGTTCGCAGTGGATGCGCCGCTGAATAAATACGACAGGCCAACGTTCTACACTTCTGATCCTGTCGTGGGTTACACGGATTACCCTTTCCTCGAATCAACAACAGCTTGAAATTTGCTCTTGAGAATGTGTTGTGTTTTCCCTTTCTGGCATTTCCATGGCCATTTGTCGCAATCTGGGTCCTTTCTACATTATACATATAATAGCCTACACAATAATTTCAACGGATATTGTCGCAACTATATCAATTACCTCAAAAGAGCTTTTTTCATGTGCTTTCAACATCAACCATTTCTGCTAACACATCCAAATTCACATCAAATCTTCCAAAACCAAAGAAAAATAAAAAGAATAATTTTACATAACGGCACACAACTGCAATATCAACACACTAAGACTACGAGTATAGTAGTATATACTAAGAGATACGTCCGATTCTGACCTGAGTCAATCATAGCCGGTGTGTTTCTCTGCGCCAGGTGGTGGTGCGGGTCTTGGGAAGTGAAACTTGAACTGTTCATCTCCGAGTTTCGGTTCTTCCACGTAGGGGCTTTTTGGTTCCTACAGTTGCCCAACGAAGAAAACAGTTTACAAAAACGCATTCGACAAGAGTTTGTTCTTCTATCAAGAATGAGCTTTTTAAGAGACTTGTGACTAAATCAGAGTAGAGTGTTTTTTACAAAAACACAAGCATACAAGAGTTTTACAGATACCTGAGAACCAGAGATAGAGTGAGACGCTTCACTGGATTCTGGGGATGTAGAGGCACCATCGTCGTAACCCCTTTCATTTTCGTTTAATTTTTGAGGTTCAGTTCTTGCTATAGGATCACTCTCACTAGCTGTTTTCGCTTTCTGTATGAGCGAAAATTTTAAAATCCCATAAATCAGTCCTCCATTCTTAATTTATAGTATATCACATTTGAACTAAATACGCGCCACATAACAAGAAGGGAATGAAACCAGATGTTACCTGGAAGATCCTCCCCAGCGTTTTTAATCCCCTTGCTCTTGCACGAAGCTCCTCTCTTTTGGCTTCGGGATCTTGAAGAACCTAGGCGACAGGAATCATAAATAGGTTTACAAACCAGAGAAAACGAACCAAGATGCCAGATAGAGTGAACATGAGTATTGGTGAAGTTAGACAACCAGCTGACAAACACGGGAAAGAGTGGCTTCGATATCAGCAACATTAAGCTTCCACAGAGAATCAATCATCACTCTTTTATGGGACTGAAGGTATTCCTCAAGTTCCTCCTCTGTATAATTTCCTTCAGCATTTAGCTGCCTTTTCATTTCCTCCTGCAGCTGGAACAAAGCGAATGCGCCTAGGATGACAATAAACAGCCAGGAAAAGAAAACACAGTCACATGTCTTGCTTCATCAGAGAGTAGACCATATTCTAGAAATTTAACAAGAACTTTCTTCATTTAGTTTCTTGACCCTTGTTCCTAAGCCACTAACCAGTTGCAGCGGTTAGTTGGGATTTGATGAAGTGACCTTTGTTCCTAAACCATTCGGCAATGAATGGTACTCCGAGATAAATAGCTTTCTTCCCAAGCTCTTTTGCTGCTTGTCTTACATATATATACCCAATCGTATTCAACATATCCACACCATACGCTGAAGAAGATTCAAATTGTAAAAGGAGGTGAGACTCGTTTTAGCACAGAGATGGTACTGATTGCAACAGGGAACAGTCTAGAGAACATATTACCTGCATTTGAGAGCCTTAGCATTTCAGCTTCAGCATTACTAATAAATTCGTCTTTGTTTAACACATATTCGTTAAGGCGGTCTTTGAGAATCTGAGCAAGCCTGTCTTCTCTTTCTTTCTGTACATTCTGAAGCCAAACACAATCTCACAATCTCAGCAAACTTTGTACAAGGAAGAGTTGGCTTGAGCAGGGGACATTAACAAAAATTCCAACACTCACTTTCATTTTTTCTTGTATCTTTTTGGTATCAAACTGATCCCCTTCACTGAAGATATCAAGTGAAGCCATTGATGCCATAGCAAGCTGTCCTATGTAACCTTCAAATAGCTCGCTACCGAAAAGCATTGCAAATATAGCAGCAGGATCGATGATTGCATCACTGAAAAGGATGAAAAAAAGAAACAAGTAAGCACCCCAACACATTTTCACACCGAGAATCCATTCCATAAGGATAAAGAGACTAACGTTGAGATCCCTGACTTCCCACATGCATCATAAGCTTGGCGTTGTCCTGAATCACTTAGCACTTGATAGGCCTCTCCCAACACCTGAATAAGAATCTACTTTTTTGAAAAAAATCTACCCAAAACATCCAATCTAATACACAAAGCTTACTTCACAAAATACACAAACTTGTCACCAATGGAAATTCTTAGAGAGCTCTTTCTCTCTTTCAAAATTTCAGATTTAGAACTTGCCTGAAAATTGTGTGCCGCTTGAGGATCATTCGGATTTTTATCTGGATGAACTTGGCGTGCCTGTGTACAATAAACAAACGAGCCTACAATCACACTACATCGAATTTCAAACTTGAATTGCAGAAATTAGATTTCAAAGCCATAATCTCAACTCGTGAGTGCTCGAATCGTCACATCCCCAAATTTAAGTAACACACAAAATGGTCTTATGATAACAAAAACCCTGAAATCAGAAGATTCGGCACATGAACACATGAGAGAGAGAGAGATGAATTTTGAACCTTGATGTAGTAAGCTTTCTTAATCTCAGCCTCCGTAGCAGTTGGGATAACGCCGAGTACATCGTAGTACTCCGTTTCCTTCACCATTTATAATCCACTGATCACAAAATCGAAAAATTCTACACCGAATCTCAGATCGCCGGAGATGGAAACAGCAAACTTAGACAGGAGAACACCAGAAACAACCCAACTTCTCTTCTTCTCTTCTTCTCTTGACTAGTCCGACGAGAACACTTCGCCGGCGATGGACTTCAAAAATCAACCGGAGGTTTTTCGCTCTTTCTAATTTTCAGTTTTGCTTTCCTTTGTCTATTCGCTTTCGCTGGTCGGGTCAAAGAAGAAAGTCTTTTACTACTTTTCTATTTTGAATCGGCAAAAAAAGAGTTATTTATATATTTTCCACGCGGTTTTTCGTCAGCCTCTGATTGGATTTTCCTTTTATTCATAGATTCATTCAAGTCTTCATAAATCATTTCATAAACAGTGAATCTTAGAGATGAAGAATCGATGTCGACCAAAAAAAAGGGACTCGATGATATATATATAAGTCACTAACCAATATATTTGAAAATTCAATGAATTTACCGCGAAAATTATTTTGCGAATCTGAAGAAATGTTTAAGAACGAGAACAAAAAAAAAACGAGTTTGACCACAATTCAATCATAACCTTCCGAACCAATTAGCGGTTTCAAACTGATTCTCACACAACAACGGCCTTTCTCTCACTAATTAGCTTTCATAACCTTCCGAGCCAATTAGCGGTTTCAAACTGATTCTCACACAACAACGGCCTTTCTCTCACTAATTAGCTTTCCAAGAGCTTAATCTGGTCATCATCATTGCCTGTTTCCACAGCTTTGTTCTTTGTGTCCTGTGGTTTGATGGGAGTGCAAGCGATGTTCTTTATTACGCAAGAGTAAAGATCAAACTCCGCCTTGAGTTTACAGCAGCTTGCTTGTATCCACTTCTCCGCCACACTTGTTGCCACACTGTCTTGGCTATCTCTCTCATGCTCTTCAATCGCTGGCCTTATCTCATCGTACAAGGACGAGAGCCGTACTGCTGCTTCCTTCTTCACCTCCTGCAACAATTTTCCAAAACACATCAGATACTTGAGGAGAGGAGGAAGCTTCTGGAGAAAAAAACTCTTTCTACCTCGTATTTGAGAATTTCATCTTGAGCTTCTTTGCTTGCTAATAGCTGAACCACACTCGCTATATCAACGTTCTTCTGAGCGACATTCTTAGTCCTTCCGCTTGAAAGCGGCCTGCCTCTTTTCTTCGGAAGAGTCCCGGGTTTACTCTTGTCACTGTTACCACGAACACGTGGTATAATTGCGGTTTTCTGCGATGAATCTTGTTGTGAGTCTTGTGAGGGCAGCTTCATATCTTCAGCTTCTTCGGTTTTAACAGTTTCCGCGACAACATCTTCCTCCATAGGAGTTGAATCCGATTGCTGAACAGTCACAGAAGTAGACTCCAAATGGGTCTCCGTTGAGATGTCTTTCTCTTCATTTGTGTTGGAGTCAGCATTCTTAGAGGGCTCCGATGTAAGCTCGTCTTCTGCAGAATCATACACTGGAATTTTATCAACTGAATACCTGGAGACATAAAGAAAAGAGAGGGGTTATAATATTGCCAGTCCAAGATCAAATCCCGCATAATATAAGCGAAACGAAAATTACCGATCATCTCCATCCTCCCATACATATGTATCCTCCTGAAATGGTAGAAAGGCATAAGAATAGGCATAGACCATTTGACTGATAATAGTATTATTAGAAACGATATCGTAAGGACTTGCCTGAAAGCCACGAGACTTGGCTCCAAGAAACCCAGAACAAGAGACTGCACGACAGAGACAACGGACTTTGGCACCGCCGTACCACTCAAAGTTATAGTCGTAAGCCAGTTCGGTCCGAGGAGAGATGCCCTCTTTTGCAAAGATTCCGACCCTAACTTCTCCCAGAACATTCCACTTCCTCGTCTCACAATTTGGTCTACTGCAGGGTAACAGGGCAAAGGAAACAGTAAGGACAGTTTTCTAAGCTATGGGTTTCTTTGAAGCATCTAAGAGAGCCGTTGTTTGTGTCTTTTTACCATGAGTGATTTATAAACCTAGCAAGGCTTCCCTTCTTCGTGGCGTCGATAGCCTCAGAGGCATTGAGAGATATTATGTATGCGTCCTTGACACCTGCCCATGTAACACACAAGTCATACATGACCTAAAGATTTACATTCAATTTCTCATCATCTCTGTAAAGTTTCTAGTTTCTACTCACCATTAGTTTCATAAGTTTGAGCCCTACGCTTTGCTTCTTTCCATGATATTACTTCCCCACAGTACTCAATTATGAACTGTCCTGCCTGAATCGTAACATCAAATACAACCCCAGTAGTTTGTTCAAAACCTGATCGAATATTCATTCACTTCAGAACTGATAAGACACAACAACAATAGATAAGCTTGAGTCCTAACCTTTATGTCTTCAAGAGCCACTAGTCCCCATCCACGGCCTTCAGACTTAATCAACTTTGTTTTCGCGTACTCACATTTTTGGAATTTCTGTAACAGTCAAAGCACGTAAAACTATTAAGCAGCATACGTTTATCTGAATAAGCTCCATGTTAAGCTCACGCTGCTACGACCAATCTCCGCTCTTAACATCGAAACATAGATGCAGACATAAACTCATTAACCTGATTCTTGCAATAGACACCACAAGGGCAGTATCCAGGCGTACATTCCGTGTTCGTTATAACATTCAGGCACCTCTCACCACACGCACTGTCAGGGTCTCCAAAATCGAACTTGCATTCGCAGATAGAGATATCCTCTTCCTTCTGTTTCTTGTGCCTAGAGGCAGTGAAAAAAAAAGTGTACTTAAACAACAATGGGGAAGATTGATTTGAGAGGACAGTGCATCAGAGAAACAGCAAAGAAAAAGGTTATTACTTTCGATATGAGAAGTCATTTTGATAGATGTGTTCGTATTGTGGCAGCTCATCTCCTTCTTGATCCTTACACAAAAGCATATGATTCCATCAGCGAAAATTCACAAATATGTATAAAGCTAACAAAACCAAATCGGAATCTCACTCGTGTTCAGGGTATTCATCAGATTATCGAAAACAAGTTATCACTTACAGGATCACATGAAAATTGCATTTTTCTTCTCAGATTGAAGCGATTCTCCCAATTTTTCCCGCAATCAGACTCAGGGGACCGGTTATGAGCGTGCGCAAGCTGTGTCACTGCACACCGACCAATTACGATTCGAATCCCCAAAGTGACTACGAAAAACGGAGACAATAAGGTTTATCAATCTCTGGGATTTAAAATCGATCCATAAAAGTGGATAAATTTGCGACTAGAAACGAAATCGCAGGAAACAAATTGATTTGAAAAGCACAGTAATGGGCATTCGCCTGAAGAGGAAAGCTGAAAAAGCTTACCGGAGAGTTTGAGAGAAAGCGCGACGAAGAAGAACGATAGACGGCGTTAATGTTATCTTTTTTACACGGCGTTAAAGTTATCTTTTTACACGGCGTGAAAGGGTTATTCCAAAAAATTTTCCAACTTAATTTGCGTTTCATAATCAAAATTGAAAAAAAAATTATATATTAGCTTCACTTAGAAAATACTAAAATTTGAATAAAACCCCTAATAACATAGTTGTTTTTTAAAACCTCGTAAATTTTATTTTTTTCTAAGCAAAAGCCTTCTGCCATTGAAGGTCTCTCTTCTCGATTGAAGATCATGGCGGCCGTACGGAAATGCCTCATTTCTCGCATCAATAAGTTTCTAACCATGACTCCTTCATCCTCTGAGTCTCTTCCCCATTGCAACAGCTTCTTTCTCCTCCGACGCTGGGTTGGTCGAGGGTAGTAGATCTGATATCATCGGGGCTCCGACTCGAGCCATCACCGAGTCAAAACCCGGCGAGATGTCTAGAAGGACCGGGATCATCGCCCTAAAGTGTGGGATGACTGCGCTCTGGGACAAAAGGGGAGCTAGGGTTCCTATATCTATTCTCTGGGTCGACGACAACATCGTCTCTCAGGTCAAAACTGTTGAAAAAGATGGGATCTTCGCTCTACAGATTGGGTATGGCCATCAGAAACCGAAGCATTTGACGAAGCCTGAGGTGGGTCATTTCAGAGCTCAAGGTGTGCCGTTGAAGAGGAAGCTGAGAGAGTTTCTTGTGACGGAAGACGCTCTTCTTCCGGTTGGCACTTCACTCGGCGTCCGCCATTTTGTTCCCGGACAGTATGTTGATGTCACCGGGATCACTCGACCGAAGTTTGATCACGGATTCATGATGAGAGTCATGAGACGATATTATTTGATAGGAGGACCGCTTCCACATGGTATTTTAAGGGCACAAAGATGCCTGGGAGATACCGGACCGGTTCCACATACTACTGCTTTAAGGGCACAAAGATGGCTGGGACGTACCGGACCGGTTCCACATGGTACTTTAATCTCTGAAGGTGGTTACACAGGTCAGAGTGCACTAGAGAGGGTGCTCAAGGGCACAATGATGATGTCTGGGAGAATGGGTGCAGTAGAGAGGACAGTGAAGAACGTTTGGGTTTACAAGATTGATCCTGCGAGGAACCTCATGTGGGTGAGAGGACAAGTTCCTGGTGCACAAGGAAACTTTGTATTCGTTAGAGATGCTTGTTTCAAGAAACAGTACATCTCCAAGCTTCCTTTCCCAACCTACTTTGCCCCACTAGACGAGGATCCATCAGAACTACATCCGTTGCTCGCAGATCTTGGAGAAGTCGACCCATTTCTGTCGGCAGAGTCAGAGTGATGATATCTCGATCTTGATTTTGGCTTTTTTTCATTTTTTTCTTTTTAAAGCTTTTTGCAGATGAAGTTGAAAACGAGGAATTTAGTCTCGCATTTGTTGAATCTCGATGCTTAAGAGTTTGCAATCTAAATTGGGTTCAGATAGTTATTCATTTTTATTAACTTCTTGTAGATACGGGTATAAATGTCAAAATCTGCGTAACTTTATATCTACTTAAACGTATGTTATGACCTTAGTAACATGTAAATTATATGTATTAAATACATGTCACCACAATAGGAGCCCTACTTCCCGAGGTCCAACGGAACTCACACATTAAAGTGAAACATTCTTGGCCATTTTTACTAACACCATGATTTTTCTGAGAATTAATCTTTATTTAATTTATTAATTAAAATGTATTATTTATTTAAATAAAAATTTAAAATGAATTACATCAATAGTTTCCATAAAAATACCCGGATCCTACAATATTTTTCTATTAAATGTAAAATCAATTTTACAATATCTTAACTAATCAAATTAATGACAAATCTTTAAGAATATTTTTAATTTAGGATAGCATTTCTGTGTTATAGATATTCCCAAATAAATAACTAAAAATTTATATCTAATATTAGGAAAAAGAAATATTTATATCAATATAAACATAATGAAATTTAGAAATTATAAAATTTGACAAAGAGTATCAATAGAACATTAAAATCGCTAGATACATTATAATAAACATATTTACTTAATTGAATTTTTTTTTTTACAATTTCAAAAATATTTATTTCCGAAATATCCACTAATTAACATTTAGATCCTTAATTATATATATAAAAAAGTTCGCAAAAACTTAATAGTATATATAATATTTCTTAAAATCAAACTTTATTGTATTATATTTGACTATTAATTATACATGGCAAAATATTTTTTATGAATAAAAATAAAATTTAAATTTGGTTATGGAAGTCAAAATAATTAAAAACGGCATGCGCAAAATATATACAAATATATGGTATAAAATTAATATAAATACATATAAAATAAAATAAAATTTAATTTAATTTTTTATCAATAATTTTAAACATACTATTTGACAATTATTTTATGATAAATATTATTCTGCACAAATGTGCAGGTAATACCTAGTATTAATTAAAAATAGAATTGAACACAGTCGCTATTATAAAATGCCACTCTTTTATATTGTACTGCTAACCTTTTGAAAACAGCACGATCAAAGACACACCAAAAAAAAAAGATTGTTGGAATATGGATTCTTGGACGGCGTTAGGGTTAGGCCTCGCCGCTGGGGCGATTATAAGTTTGGTATCTGTTGGGGTGTGGTTTCTCCTCAAGAAGCTTAATCTTGTGAAGTCGTAATTTTGTAATGGATTAAGGTAAGCAAACTTATTTTCTTATTTCAAGAGAAATACTGATGAAATTGTACGATTTCAGTAAAAGTTATTGCAATAATTAATTAATAAAAAGAGTATATATGTGTACAATAAAAAGTATGTATGATTGTTGACTTAATGTTGCTACATACAATACATAATGAAACTCGGAAGCCGTTAGTTCTTACAAAAGATAGACCAACAATCATACATAATTGTTTGGTTCAAATCGTTCCTACTGTATAGATTTATCAATCTCTGGGATTTCAAATCGATACAAAACTTTGAAAATGGAGAAACTTGCGACCAGAAACGAAACCAGATGAAACATACTGATTTGAAAATCCCACTATCGGGCGGATCTTTTTTTAGAATAAACGTTAAGTTATATTCAAGCAACATTTTTTTATATCAAGTGATTCATTATTTTGAGTTTAGAAAGAAAAAAAGTTGACATAGAGATCAAATTCTTGTGTCGAACCAATACATGCATGAGACTTCTTCACTCGTACTTTTGATCAAGACTCTTAAGAGCTTGAGGTAAAAATAAAAATCACTATTTTTATATATATTTCTAAATAATAATTTTAATCTTTTTAAAAAAAAATTGTTAAAATGTCAATAAAAAGAAAAGAATAAAACTTATTAAAAAAAACAAATATTTACTTTGGTATGGTAGTTAATTTTTGAATTTAGGAGTGAAACTTCAAAAGAGCAAACTTTAACCATATTTTAACCATTACATTATTATTAATTTTTATGAATTAAGATATCAAAACTATTTATTATCTCTCAAGGTGAGGAATTTAGTCTCACATTTGTTAAATCTCGATGCTTAAGAGTTTGCAACCTTAACTGGATTCAGATAGTTATTCATTTTGATTAACTTCTTTTAGATACGGGTATAATTGTCAAAATCTGCGTAATTTTATATCTACTTAAACAAATGTTTTTTTTTTGAAAAAGGGTTTACTAATATTTAACACACTTAAACATATGTTATGACCTAATTAACATATAAACATATAGCACCATCTATAAGTTATGAGTATTAAACACATGTCATCACGATCTGACTAATATTAATCAACATAGAATTAAAACACAAGATATTATAAAAAGGCCACAAGATTTTACAATGTACTGCTACATCCAACCTTTTGAAAACAGCACGATCGATCAAAAACACACAAAAAAAGATTGTTGGAATATGGGTCTTGGGGCGTGGTTCGGGATAGGCATCGCCGCTGGGGTGATTATAGCTTTGGTGTCTCTTGCGGTATGGTTTCTCCTCAAGAAGCTTAATCTTGTGAAATCGTAATATTGTAATGGATTCAAGTAATCAAACTTAATTTTCTTATTTCAAGAGAGATACTGATAAAGTTGTACGATTTCTGTAAAAGCTCTTGCAATAATTAATAAAAAGAGTATACATATATGTGTACAATAACAAAGTATGTATGATTGTTGACTTATTGTTGCTACATACATAATGAAACTCGGAAGCCGTTAGTTCTTACAAAAGATAGACCAACGATCATACATAATTCTTTGGTTCAAATCGTGCCTAATATATAGGTTTATCAATCTCTGGGATTTAAAATCGATACAAAACTTTGAAAATAGAGAAACTTGCGACCAGAAACGAAACCAGATATGAAACATGCATACTCATTTGAAAAGCCCACTATTGGACAAATCTTCTTTTTTAAGAATAAACGTTAAACTATATTCAAGCAAACTTTTTTTTTTTTTTTTTTGTTAATTAGGAGGAGTTCGGGCCTGGGCCTTAATCTTCTCCATGGCCTGGGACCAGCCTTTGCTAATACCTTATGACATGGCGTAAAGCATTCCTCCCACTGGGAATCGAACTAGGGAGCACATGAATCCAACTTCTGCACTTAAACCACTAACCCACCGCACCGGTGGTTCAAGCAAACTTTTTTTACATCAAGTGATTCATTATTTGAGTGGGGAAAAAAACTGATAAAGAGATCAAATTCTTGTGCGGAACCAATACTTCCCTCGTACTTTTGGTTTCCGCGGTTTGTAACGTTCTTGTCGATTATCTTTACCAACCGCATCGGTGGCATATAGCTTCCTTCCCACGTTATTTGACATTGGTCTGGAGAGGAAAACTAAGAAGCTTACTGCTTACATGAGAGTTTGAGAAAGAGTGTGACGACGAGCGAGGAAGAATAATAGACGATCCTAAAGTTATACATATTGTTTACACGGTGTAAGAGTTACATTTCGTAAGAGGGGTGTTCTCATGTTAAGAAAATACATTAGCAAATAATTATTTTTCTTAATCAATATTGGAAAAGTAAATATATTAGGTTCGCCTAGAAAAATTACAAAATTGGATTTTTTTTAAAGTATAACTTTCTCTAAATCACAAGTATAATTTCTTATAGCTATTTTTGTATATTTTGTAAATGTCACAATCTATTTAATAACATATCTACTTAAACATATGTTGTTAATTATAACCTAATTAAGATATAAAATTATATCACTTTTTGTTCAATATTGTGTGTATTAAACACAAGCCATAATCTCTGAATCTGATTAATATTAACTAGGTATTTATCCGCGTTATGCTGCAGGATATTTTTTTAAATTTTGTCTATATATATTTTTCTAAATTTTGTATATATTTTTTAACATAATAAAATGATCTTTATAATTATATAAAGCGATATACCATTTAAAAAAAGATTTATTAATTAATATGATTATTTTAAATTATAAAATTTATTTATTTATCAAATATTTTATTATAAACATACATTTCTAAAACTACCAAACTATAATCAAATAACATTCATATCAAAATCATTGCTATTGCATTAGAACTAAATAGAAAATTATGTTTGAACTCTTAAAATATCGTTTTAGTTAAAATTAAATAATTAAAACAAAAATCGTAAACATAGAAAATTTAGCATAAAGAAATTTTATCTTCTTACAAAAATCGAAAAATCGCATTTCCCATCAAAACAAAAAAACAACATTTTCTCATTAAACTGAGAAATCGCCTATTCCCACCAAAACCAAAAAACTCATTTTCTCGTCAAACCTAAAAACTAAAATTTCATTTTCCCGCGAGAACCAGTGTTTTTCCACCAAAACCGAGAAATTACTTTTTTCACAAAAACTAAAAAATTTCATCTTCCTGCAAAAACCAAAAAAAAATTGTATTTTCCCGCCAAAATCGAAAACTTTATTTTTCCTACGAAAACTGAGAAATTGTCTATTCCTGCAAAAAAAAAAAAATTTTTTCGTCAAGTCCAGAATCACGCTTTCCTACGAAAACAAATAAACTACAATTTCCCACTAAACCAAAAATTGTATTATCTCCCGTGAAATTATGTTTTCCCACGAAAACTAAGAAATTATTATGTTTTTATCAGTTCAAATTTTTGTTGATGTGTAAGCTTCTTATAACATTAGGCTTTTTGCATTGTTGTCATGGAAACATAATTGATGCTGAGCCTATGCTTTTTCAATCATATACGTCTATGTCAACCAAACAGATAACTATAATTTTTTTATTATTTATTTGTTGTTATTTATTATTTGGATTTGGTTTTGGCAAAAAAAAAATAATGATTTAATTTTTTTATTTGTTTTTATTTTTTATATAGGTTTGGATTTGGCAAAAAATAAATTTTTTTTTGCTGTTATTTATTATTTGGGCTTGGGTTTGGTAAAAAATAAAACAAAAATTAATAGAAAAAAATATTTGGATTTTTGATGGGTTTAAGTTTAAAATTTAAAATAAATAGATGAGATGTATTAATAAAATATTTTGATTGATGATTATTTTTGCTGAGGTGTCATGTTTATAAAGCTTCAAAAAGCTGATGGGTCAAGCCATGGAAAGACTTTTGTTATTGTTGTGTTGATTCTGTCCAAAAAATAAGATTAATATTAATTAGAATAGAATACATTTTGAGCATTATTTCATTTTAATAATATATCACCTTTTGTGTCATAATCTGATTAATATTAAATTTCAATAGAACACATTATTAAGACATACTTCATTATAAAATATCACTTCTAATAAGGTAAATGGCACACCAAAAACTATAAGAAACACAACAGACACCAGGAAAAGATTGTTGGCGAGATAAAGGGAAGATGAGTACTGCAGCAGTGGTAGGGATAAGCTGCGCCGCTGCAGTGGTTATAGCCTTGGTGGGTGGTGTGTTCTGGTTTTTCGCGCGTTAAAGAGAATTATTTCATCTTAATCCAAGAGAATAACTGATGAGAATGTATAATTTCCAATAAGAGTTCTTGAAAAAAATTAAACTTTACTGTGTATACATAATGGAAGTCGTCAGTTCTAATTAAGGATTTTGACCAATAAAATTGGAGTATAAAGTTCTTACATACAGTATATTTTTTTTGTGTTCTCTTTTAAAACTGTAACCGAAAGCAACCAATTAAAACCAGACGGTTTAGTCGAACAAAAGTAGAAGTCGTTAGTTAACGGCGCTTGCGCTCAGCGGTGGGAGGTAATTTCTCCGATGGTCCGGTCGGAAGTTTACGGCCAGTCTTCTTTTCCAACCGCTTCTTTAGCTCTCTCACTATTCGAATCTGTTGTAGCTTCTCCGGTGACAGTTTGTCCCAATAGATTCCTGCAAAAGAAAACAAAAACATAAGAAAATAATATAGCCACATTTTCCACAAGAAATTTCAAGACCTTGTGGTTTCGGAATTGGTGTGTTTGTGAAAATGACTCGAGTAGGAGTGCATATGATATCCACAGGAACGTCGTGAACCGCCAGTTTCTCGAGGGGTATATCGTCCACAAGCTGACACTCATGTACTGTAAAAACAAGCTTCATGAATCATTCACCACCATTCATGAAGAAGATTAAAGATACAAAGAAGAAGCTTTTAACATAGTTGTTCTAAAAATACCAGTTGTAACAACGGGTGTGGAATCATCAATGGCTCCCATGTAACGCAGCATTCCATATTCAAGTTCCGCAAAACCCTGTACATATATTATGTATATCATACGCTTGAATTTTACTTTACTTAGAACAGAGATTGAGTTGTAGTAGTGATTACCTCTCCCTTCCCTAATCGAGCACCCGTTTGTGGGTTAACCGCAACAGAGCCAAGGACAATGAGGTCCACTTTGATCTTCTCATCGAGACCTATCGCTCTTCCATACTTGGCTACTCCTACAGAGGTGCAAGCTTCGATGATCCTTTCGGGTTTCAACAAACCGGATTCTACTACAGAGAAGAACCCTGTTCTTAGCCTAGGCTGAGGAGTCAACAGCTTCTTCTCACCTACACAAATTTACACAATACAACAATGTCTAAGAATCTGATTCAACTTTAAGACTATAGCTCTTACATTGCAACACTTTGAAGTATGAGAATATTCCTAAGATAACTTTCATGAAACTGTGACAATGAAACACTATGAAGTATAAGAATACTCCTAAGATAATACATGATTGAAACATGAGTCAAAAACTCCATCTTTTTGACAGTTGCTCAGACATTAACTAACCAGAAAGTGTAAGAAACCTGATTTGCTTTTGCGGCGAATCAGGGTTAACCTTCACGACCTCAGCCATGCGAAAGGCGTCAAGATCAGCCAACTGCACGAAGAACTCAAATTTGGCAATTTTTTTAACATCCGCCAAATTAAAACCCAGAAAGTGAAAAAGGGGTTAAATTCGCGCACTTTCGCGGCGGCAGCCGACGCGCCGACGAAATTAGGGATCCGATGATGAACGGGTCTAGGGTTCATGGAGTAGTTTCGAGCTTCCATCAGATCCCACATTTTCTTTCTGATCACCCATTTCCACGCTTTCGGGTCGCTATCTGGATCCGATTCAAGTTCATTCCTCGCCGTCTCCGCCATATTCTCCATCGCAGCCGCGTCGAGGCTCAGCCGCTCAGACTCATAAGCCACAGCATCGAAAGCCGCGCCGTCGCCGCTCGCCGATCCGATTCTGGAGAAATTCCTCCGCCGTGGCACGATTTGGGCGGGGAGAAAAGCCGGTTTCTCGGAATTGACGAAGGGATTGAATTTAAAACGAGGATTGATTGCAAATCCAGGTGATAATCGTATCATTGTTTGATGATCACCCAATTTCAGTTTGGGTTTTTTCGAAAGGTCTTCGTTTTGTCAGTGTTCTTGTTAAAGATAAGAAATCAACGGCTTAGATAATTTGTTCAGTTCCCGCTGAAATTCGTATGACTCTTCCTCTCCTAAAAGCCCAATTTTTAAATACTATAATGGGCCTTTTAGCGGCCCAAGATTAGCCGTAGAATGGGTAGTTCATCTTCTTCTATACGCCTCCGCGAGCCTTTTTGGTTAACCACCTGGAGCCTTTAACGTCACATATACACGCTCTCTCAATCTTTTCATTGAACGGCTAAAAAGGCGAGTACATCTCATGTAGGTAGAACGCGCGTGAATTATACCCGTTCCGTACTATTCGGGTTTTACGAGAGCGGGGGTTTACCAAATTTCAAATTTAAAAACATCATTTTTCCCCAAAAAACATTTATCATTCACTTGACCCAAAAAAGTACGCTTCGTCTACCAGATTCCTATTTAATCACCAGACTCTTCGATCGATTCTGTATTTCTCTTTCACTTCGCGGTGTTATTAATTTATGGTGAAAGAAGAAACTCAAATTGCTTTGTTTGGAGATGGATTTTCATGGAATGAAGAGGAAGGATCTACAAGCCCTATGCAAAAAGCATGGAATCCCTGGGAATCTGAAGAACACGGAGATGTCTAGTAGGCTCGCTTCTCTATTCGAGGTGATTGCGATGTTCTTAATTTTGTTTTTTTGGTTTTTTTTTGTTCTGGTTTGATTCTGAAATTAGGAATGTAGAAGCGAAAGAGATTGTTATTTTGTTTTTGTACATGAGAAGCTCTCGCGAATTTATATTAGGGTCGAAGGTCGTATCGTCGGTTAATTTTGGTGTGTGTTTTACGCAGACGGAAACGGAAATTTCGCCTGAGGAATCTGTAATGGGGAATCAAGGTGTAAGCAGAAAGGCGAAGAAAGTGACTTTTAGCCCGGAAAGTGAAAATCAAGTTTTCGAATTCACTCGATCTGCTAAGAAACTTAAGCGGAGGAGTGTTAGTTCGCGTAGCCAACAGAGCGGAATTAAGCTAAGGCGGTCAAAGCGAAACGCGGCCAAGGGGATAAGTGGGATTGTTGATTCTGAAGGAGAATGTAGTTCGCCGGATATTATAGAGGTGCAGATGGTTCCAAGGCGGTCGAAGCGACTTGGCTCTGGTGGCAGTACACAAGAAGACTGTAAAGTGACGGAGTTGATTGATGTGGAACAGATTGAAGATGAAGATACCTCGAAAGGACTGTCTCGGAGACGATCCACGCGGCTAGCAGCTAAAACTGAGAAACCATGCGTGGAAGGTGGGACATCGAAGGCAGGACCTTTACTACCAGCTAAGCGGTCGAAACAACTGGATAAAGATGATGAGCTTGTGAAGAGTAACGTGGCGGAGGTCTCTGTGGATGTTGAGGTTCCGGGAACGAGAAAACGTCAGAGGAAGGGTGTGCAGGATGACTCTAGAGTTGAAAAGTTTCCTAGGCGGTCAAGGCGATTTGTGAATGACATCGACCTGCAGACCGATACTCATGATCAGAGAAAGTCAGTAAGGGTTGAAGCTGTTGCTGCTAAGGAAAGTAAAGAAGAAAGAAAGACTAAGCGTTCAAAAGGATCTTCGGTTGTCAGTAGTGGAGAAGGCGAGCTTGTCAAAAACAAAACAAAGGGGCCTTCGATAGACTTGATGGAAGCTTGTCAGGATGTTCCGAAAGCTGAAGTGGTCACACGGCGTTCGAAACGGCTTTGGAACAATGTTAATGTGCCGATAGTGGATGGAAATGTGAAGACCGTGAAAGGTAATGATCTACAAGTAGAAAAGGCTGTAAAGCAGTCTAGGCAACTTGAAAAGAGTGTCAGTGAACGCGAAGCAGATGGCCAAGCGCAAAAGGGTGGTAAACAACCAAAGAGAGCTTCAGGGAATGATCATGAGAATGTAAAGCCTCTAAGACGTTCGAAGCGCACTGCTTCAATGCAGTTAGCAGCAAACAACCCTGAAGCTGACCTAGTCGTGCCTACAGGAAAAATCCATGTTAAGGATATTGCTTCAACTGTTGTGCTTGAGGAAAATGCCAAAACCAAGGACGAAACCCTTATATGCACTCCTACATCCGAGCTTAAGGATGATAGTTCCGTAGCTAAGCTAGCAAAAGTAAAAGGTATAATATACTTTTTACTCATTTGTTGTAAAGAAATTAGTTTCACTTTTATTGCTAACTTATTGTTTTCTAATCCGCATTTCTTTCTGACGTTTAATCACAGCAATCCTGGAAACTTCAGCTGAATGTTGGAAAGAGATTCACTCAAGCAAAGATAATGAGAAGGATTACTCTGAGAAGGATGTACAAGCATCAACTTTACATGAAAACTTTTCTGAATGCAACACTCAGAATGACAGTGCAGAAGAAAAAATGGAGAGTAGTGTGGTTGGTTGTATGAGTGCTGGTCGCTGTGGAAATCTAACACCAGAAATGTTTTTGGAGCCAGAAGAAGCGGGGGGCACTAATGTGGAAGCTAGATGCACTTCCAAGAAACTGAAAACAATAGGTCAAGAATTCGCAAAAGATAAGCAACAAATAATGGCTGGGGACTCGCCTTCTTCGTCTGAAGCCAAAGCTACAGAACCTCTTACGATTTCGGAGAATGATTTTGATTCTACACTGAAAGTTCCAAGTGTTTTTTCACTGGTAAGAAACGTTCAAGAGTTGAGTTCTGAACTTAAGGAAGGAGAATGTGAAGAGAAACATGAGCAAGACGCAGTTCTTATAGCTTTGACTAAGAAGGACAAAGAGGAAGCGTCAAAAGTGAAAACATGCCCAGATATCAGCAGCGCTGGTGGTTATCTATCTGTGGAAATGACTCCGATTACTGCCTTAGTACAATTAGCAACGAGCAACCCTGAAGCTGAGCTCGGCGTGTCGACAGTTACCACCGAGAAAGATACAAACAAAAAAGAGGAAGCCCTTATCTGCACTCCTAGATCTGAGCTTAAAGATCTTAGCTCTGTTGCTGAGTTAGCCAAAGTTGAAGGTATATACTCATTCATTTTATTTGAATTGCTCTTTAACTTTTATGCTTGATTTTTTTAATCCATGTTTCTTTCTGACGTTTAATCACAGCGATCCTGGAAAATTCAGTTACATGTTGCAACGAGATAATGGCTGGGGACACACCTTCTTCGTCTGCAGCCAAAGCTACAGACCCTCTTACGATTTCTGAGAATGTTTTTGATTCTACGCTGAAATTTCCAAGTGTCATTTCACTGGTAAGAAACGTTCAAGAGTTGAGTTCTGAACTCATGGAAGGAGAATGTGAAGAGAAACATGAGCAAGACGCCGTTCTCATAGCTGTGACTAAGAAGGACAAAGATGAACCGTCAACAGTAAAAACAAGCCCAGATAATAGCAGTGTTGGTGGTTATCTATCTGTGGAAATGACTCCGCTTTCTGCTTCAGTGCAATTAGCAACGAGCAACCCTGAAGTTGAGCTCGGCGTGTCTACAGTTATCACCGAGGAAGATACTAACAAAAAAGAGGAAACCCTTATTTGCACTCTTAGATCCGAGCTTAAAGATCTTAGCTCTGTTGCTAAATCAGCAAAAGTAGAAGGTATATACTTATTCATTTGATTTGAATTTCTCTTTAATTTTTATGCTTATTCTTTTTAATCCATGTCTCTTTCTGTCGTTTAATCACAGCAATCCTGGAAAATTCGGCTGCATGTTGCGACGAGATTCATTCAAGCAAAAATGACGACAAAGGTTCCTTAGAGAAGGATATACAAGCAGAAAATTTACATGGAAACTTCTCTGAATACAACACTGAAACTGGGGGTGCACAAGAACAAGCGGTTATCTGCAAGGGTGATCGTATCAGTGTTGATCATTGTGTAAACCTGGAGACGCTGGATGACAATCTGGAGAAGTCTGAACGATCCATTTCTAGTGAAAGAGGTTGTAAACGAAAAGCGTTGGAGCTAAGCGGATACTTGTCAACTGACTTTGCTTTCCTCTCTCCTATGGAAGAAAACGTTTCAGAGTGTGTCAAGGAAGTCGAAATGAAAGCTTTATCCCAGCCTATACCAATTAACAAAGCTGCTAGTAGCACCCTTGACGAACCAGCTCTATTCACTACCCCAGAGAGAAACTTAATGTTGATGGAAAAAGTCAGCGAAAACGGAAAGAGGCGTGCAGTTGATTCAGTGACCCATCACAATGATGAAGCAGTAGAGTCTCATGCTGTTGTTTTCACAACTCCTGAACAAGTTTTATTGCTGGGTGATTCAGGGCTAGATGAGGTGGGAAAGGAAGAGGAACATACAGCCACAAACCTTCCTGGTGATTCTGATGTTCTCAATTCCACCGAGAGAGACTCAATGTTGCAAAACGAAGCTAGAAATGAAGGAGAAAGTGTAGTTGTTGAGCTTCATGACGACTCTAACATTGCCACTACTCCTCTAAAACAATCCAGTGTGGGAGACTTCGAAGGAGATGGAATCGAAAGGAATGAAGAAAATAAGACTGAGCTCCATTGTGAATCTGGCACTTGCACTACCCCGGATAGTCATGCAGTCTTTGGAAACTCTGTATCAGATGGAGCAGAAAATAGTGGAGGAAGCAAGGCTACGGAGTTCAATGAAAATCCTGTTGTTTTCACTGGTTTGGAGGTGATACATGAGGGTTTTGGATATTCTGGACAAGATGAAGACCCTGAACTAGGCGAAGCAGAATGGTTAGGAATCAATATTGCTGACAAGTCAAGTCCTTGTACAAGCCTGGAGAGACAATTGTTGTATGGAGACTCTGAACAAAAGAAAGCCGTAAAGACTGCAGAAAAGGCGGCTGCAGAGTTTCATGATGACTCTTTTAATCCCAATTTTCCAGAAAGACATCCCTTTGCGGAAGAGCCTGAACTGGTAGAAACTGCAAAAAGTGATGAAGATAAGGCTGTGGAATTGCAAGTTGACTGTGACATTTTCACTGGTGCCGAGAAACAATTATTGCTTGAAACAGAGGAAGGCTTGAAAGGAAACAATATAATTGCCAACTCTCATGAAATATCTGATGTTCTCACTGCTTCGGAGGGCCACTCTCGTGAATCTGACATTTCCACTGACCTGGAGAGGCGTTTATTGTCTGAAGACTCTGGATTACACGAAACAAGAAAGATGAAAGATAATACGTCAGCCACTTGCGAAGAGTATTTGATTTTCACTTCTCCAGAGAAAAATCAGCTTTTTGGAAACTCTGAACTACCCACTGCTGGAAAGCAAGAAGGAAAAGTGGAGTTCAAGGACGAATCTGCCCTCTTCACTAGGCTCGAGAGCCGTTTGCTTTTGGAAGAGTCTGGACAGGACCGACTTGGTAATGGTAATTCTGTCTCAAGTTATTATGCGTTTGTCATTCTATCAGTTGAGTTTAAATTGTCATATCTCATTTTGTCATCTCTGAATCACAGAAGAGTCTGCCCCTTCCACAAACATCCAGAATCAGATAAGCGATGCATTGGAGGAATTGGCAATAACAGGTGATTAGCACATTAACACTTATTTTTCAACATCTGACACTGTTCCTGGAGGCATACATAAGTGCAAGATAGTAAAGTTTTTCCCAATCATATGTAGACAATGATGAAGCAGACGATCTCATAGAAGCAAATGTAACAATGAATACTGAAAGAGACTACAAGGGAAATCTTCTGTTGGACTCCTCAGGTGGCGCTCCTGTTTCTGGAAAGACATGCGTCGTAGTTGCAACGGAGGATCATGAGCACTTAGGCTGTAATTCGGGAGAAGATTTTAGAAACACATGGGCGACAAGTGGTGGTAGCAGAGCTCTCGAAGATGAAGCAACCGGTCCAATTGCTACTCCCTTTGGTAAATTTCTTTTCTACATCTAAGCAATATCCAGGTGTTAGGTACTATATTGGAATACACTGACTAATTACTGTTTCTACTCAATCCATTCTCACAGCAGAGAAAGCCATCTCGCTGATTCCTAATGAATTCATTGTTCAGGATAATAAAACCGAAGAAGGTTGGATTTCTTACAGATCTTGTGTTATTTAGATTCAGTAAAACACTTAAATAATACAAATGTTAACTCGGTAAATCTTTTGACACTGAGGGTACAGAGACAACCATGGAAGCAGAAAGAAATGCTCCTCTCAGCCCCTGTGTACTTACCTTACCAGCTGAAGGTGATTTCGAGATATTTGGTGAAAATTCCAGCCACTTTGAAATTGCTGGAACCAGTTCCATGGAGTCAGGTGAGCAACTTTTTCAAAGGTTTTGATGGAGTTAGTATATATAGTCCCTTTCGTTATTGAAGTTATTATGCTTGTCATTTTATCAGTTGAGCTTAAAGGTTCTAATCTCTTTCTTCTCTCATACCTGAAACGCAGAAGAATCTTCCCTTTCCTTAGACATTCAGAACCAGATAAAAGACGCACTGGAGGAATCGGCAGTAACAGGTGATTACAACATTAACACTCTTATTTTTTTCAACGTCACACACTTTCTTCCTGAAGGCATACATACGTGCGTGCATGATTGTTCAAATATTTCCACTCATTTGAAGACAACAATGAAGCAGACGAGCTCACTGAAGCAAAAGTAACGAGGAACTTGGACTCTTCAGTTTCTGAGAAGACATGCGTCTTAGGTGGCACGGAGGATGAGCACCTTGGCTTTAATTGTGAAGTAGAAAACACATGTGACGAAAGTGGTCGCAAATTTCTCAAAGATGAAGCAACTGATCCAATGGCTACTGCCGCCTTTGGTAAGTTTCTTTTCTACAGCTAAGCAATTTCCAGGTGCTACTAAATTTGGATACTTTTAACTAATTACTGCTTCTACTTAATACACTCTCACAGAGAAAGAGATCTCTCCAACTCCTGATGAATTTACTGTTACGAATAACAGAAATGAAGAAGGTTAGATTTCTTGCAGGTCTTGTCCCTCTTAAGACTAGATTCCAACTAGCTAAATAGTGACTAATCTCTAGAAACATTTACTTTTTTTTTGAAATAGCAGCAGATGAGGAAACGATTAAGAGAGAAACCACTCCAAGTGCTGAAAAAACCTTGAATGAGTATTTGAACACTGATGCATCAGGTACGTCATCTGAGAATCAGGTAAGAGGAGAACCAGTCTTAATTTACAGAACAGAAGTGAAGCCTAAAAGGCATGTCATGAAAGAGAATGCACCATACTCAAAGATTGTGGATAATCTTAACGTAACAGCTCCAAGGACATCAAAGAGACAGCCGCTCCAAGACTTGAGGAAGAACTAGAAGACTGATTTTGCATATCTCATGCACCTTTAGATATTTGTCTAAAACTTGCTAATAATTTAGTTTCTGGAACCTATTTTCTTGCGTTGAAAAAACCTTTCAGATTTATAGTTTGTTCGTGAGTCTTTGATTATATAAAGACCCTTTTGATTTCTTGTGCTGCAAAATTGCCAATAGATACATGTTATGTACATACACACACATGCAAAGATTTTGACGGCGATGATAAACTGGTCCGGTTAAATCAAATCCAAAGGTGTTAAATTTCGCCAAATGCAATTTGATATCATCTTTGTAGTAAACCCAATACAGATGAAATGTTCCTGATCCAAGCCCTATACTAACCCAATAAGCATGCTTGACTTGTTAACGATAGTAAATGTTCGTCCCATTTATAACGCAGATTGAATTCCAATAATTTATTATACCCATCACGCCACTAAGCACTGATTAACTCACAAAGACGTGTCTAGTGAGTTTCCCTCGTAATTAGCTCTAGTCCTTTCACTTACCATTTACTTGTAACAGTTATAGGCCTAAGTGTATCTATATAAACTCTCTAAGGTTATCGCTCACTTCCCATCACAAACACAAACAAATCAACCAGACTTCACTTCTTGATCTTTTCTCATTTCGACCTTATCAATCTGCAGAGTAATGGCTGACCAATCCAGTTTCATGGTTACCTTCACTGTGACGCTCATGCTCATGGTGGCTTCTTCCACAGTGACAGCTCGGCCTCTCATGGGTGCATCTTCTCCTTCCACGAGCCTTGTGCACCGTCTCAGGCTTGATGAAGAAACAGGTTACTGCTGGGACTCACTGATGCAGCTCCAACACTGTTCTGGCGAGCTCATCATGTTCTTCCTCAACGGTGAGACTTACATTGGCCCTGGATGTTGCAGTGCTATAAGAACTATTGGACGCAAGTGTTGGCCTACTATGATTGGTGTTCTTGGCTTTACTGCTCAAGAAGGTGACATGCTCCTAGGTTACTGTGATGGCCATGACTCCGACGACGACGATGGTGATGACCACCATGCTCTTGCCTCCTCACCACTGCCTCTGTCCGTGATATTCAAGCCTAGTACTGATGTTAGATCTTCTAACCCTTGAATCGCAGGGTTCATAGCCTATATGTTTTCTTTCCCTAAGACAAGTTTCAATCTAATGTAATTGGAGAGGCATGCTGAGAAATAGCTACTCTGTTATTTCCTTGAGAATAAAAGATCATCGTTACTCACAACAAGGTTTTGCAAAAATAATCTTCTTTTTTCTCAAATCCAAAGATACTTACGAAAGACTCAGAAACATTATGTCTTGTATTCTCCTTGTTAATCAATGAACAATGACTGAAAAACGTGGCTAACCCTAAGCCCTGATTAGGTCAGGGACAGTTGAAAAACATACCAGTTATTAAAAGAGTTCATGCTCCATAACTATGGCTTCACTTTCAGAGAATCCTCAATTCGTTGGATGAGTTGTTTAGCCGTCAAAGCACCTTCCTGGAATTCAGGAAGAACAATAAAAAGTGAGATTAAGAACAAAAGGAAATCAAAGATTGTAAAGAGGCATGGAAGTCAATCATACAAAGCGATCACAAGGCTCTCCATCTTTGAATAGGATAAACGTAGGAAGTGCCTCTATCTTGTACTTATTAGCAATACTCGGGTACTTCTCAGTATCGATCTTCACCACCTGGATCTTGTCTTTCAGGGCTGCACTCACCTCACTGAGTATTGGAACCATGAACTGACAAGGGCCACACCTGCAAAACGAACATTTTCATTTCTGATTCAAGCTTGAATCTACTCAAATATGCAAACATAACAGACTTGGCATTGTACAAGAACTCACCATGTCGCATAGAAGTCAACCAGAACTGGCTTATCAGAGTTCACAAGCAGATCCTCGAACGAGTCGTACGTCTGCTTCTTCGCTTCAATCTGAAGTAACAATGACACTGGTTCGTCAATGAGCTCAAGCTAAACCGACAAGTAGATAAAGGAAGTCACTTTATGCCCATCCCAAAACCCTATAGAATCAGCTAAGAACTAAAAAAATGAGTTTTTTTTTTCCTCAGCAGAGACAGTAAGTACTTCGCTATCACAGGACAGTTTCAAGCAACATTTGACAGACAAGCGATTCTCGAGATTCTACAATCTTTGAATTAAGAATAGTTTATAGAGTGATATTAAGTACAGTTTCCACTATATACAGAAGCTAGATTATATAAGCTTGAGCACAGAAGGCGATTTACAGCGCGAGGAGTATTTCGAGTCCTTGAAGAAACGGAGGAAAACTTCAAATCTCCGGTTCGAACCCGACGAACTGGAAATTGAATTTGGACGGACGAGACTGAACGCGACGCGAAAGCAGAAACACTAGACGATTTTTTGGAATTTAGCGACGGAATCGTAGACGACGAGAGGGAAGTCGCCGCCATTGAAGAATCAGAAGAAGAAAAAAAACGATCTCTTGGTTCGGCGTAGATTGATGATTGATCGCAAAATTTTCTCAGAAGGAAACAGAAAAACACAAAGTTGCACACTTCTGAAAACTCGATTTGATGAAGGGAAAAGTTGGCGATTTGGGTTTGACGAAAAAGACTCCGGAGGAAAATGACAGAGAGTACAAGAAAGAGGTGATGATCCACTACGCTCAAGTGCACGGTATCTTTTTCTGTAATTGGAGTATTATTTTATGGGCCCACCACATAAACACCACCGATACGTATGGACTCTTCTCCAAACATAAGTAATCGAACAAAACTACGATCTGCACTTTTGAAGCGATAGTGTATAAACTGCATGTTGAGGAATAAAATTTCGATGACATACCTGTTTGTTTTCTTCAATTATTTTGTGAATAAGCCGATTGTTGTTGACATATAAATTAATCGCAATTTGTTCTTCTATGTCCATTGCTTCATTTTCTTTCATCAACCATTCATCAAATTCAGATGAATCTGATGAGGAAGATGAATTATGAAACGAAGATGGACCTGCAATATCAAAATTCATTTTACTAACTAAGAACCAAATATGGTGATATTTGTTTGGTATTTATAGATATAAATGCTACTATTTAAAAAGATTAAAAAAAAGTTCGAGAATCTAATCTGTGCCATTCATTATATTTCACTTGTTACCAATGGTTAGATTGAAATCTTACCACTATCTTATCCAAACATAACAAATAAAATAATCTTACCACTATCTTATCCAACAACATAACCAAACACTGTAACAAAAGCCATTCAACAGGCTAATGAGTGGCAGCAGGCCCAACAAGAACAGCCTTTGGGCCACATCAAAAAAGCCCAGTCACTTACATCCCTAAGCCCAGGTATGTTTATGTGTTGGTTGGCATTTGCAGAACGACAAAGGCTCCACGATTAGCCAAGGCTCCTCGTCAAGATTGTTTGTTCCTAATTTTCAGATTTTTTTGTTATCTCAAATAAACAGTCTTTTGTAAAAGCAATGAGATAGATTAGGAGAAGAAAGAAACTAGTACAAGATAGCCGTTACTTCCCGCCAACGCAACCGGGACAGTTAGAAAGCAGCCGACCGTTGGCGGTAATAAAAGATAAATGAGGACACCATTTTTGAGTTTCCTGAAGAAGAAGTAACGAATATATTCTTGTGTGGGCTCTTCAAGGAAACTTATGTAATGGCCTAACTTTAAACAGAGAAAAAAAAATGTGAATCAGAGGGAGACTTTAATAAAAACTAAAAACAGATGCTGCTTAAGAATAAGAAGAAGAATCACAAATAATACAAAAAAAAAAAAAAAAAGAATGGAGCTTGAATTGGGTCTGAAGATCACTCGAACAAGAGATGATGCCTCTTCCTCTACAGATTTCAAGGTGTCCAGAGATTCTGTTGGCCAGCTTTCGCTTTCTCGAGAAACCAATTCTGTGTTCTTCCTCATTCTTCATCTCAAAGGTTCATATAAACAGTTTTTCTTCATATAGTATATATTCAAAGTTCTCCCATTTTTGTTACGCGTTTTTTTTTCTATGAGATTGAGATTAAAAACCGAATGCAGGATTTAAGAAGGATGGTATCGATATTGAGATAAACAAAGAAGGGAATCGAATTAAGATAAGCGGAAAAAAGCAGGTAGAAGAGATGGTTTTGATAAAGTGGGTGCAATGGAAAAAGGATGCAGAGGTTAGAGAATTCAAGAAAGTGTTTCGGATTCCCGAGATTGTTAATCTTGATAAGATCAAAGCGAGGTTTAACGAAGAAGACGGGACTTTAACGGTTACAATGCCGAAGAAAATTAAAGGGATTTCCGGTTTGAAGATTGAGGAAGAAGAGAAAACGGAGGAAAAAATTGAGCCAGAAGAAGAGAAAACAGAGGAAAAAACAGAGCCAGAAGAAGAAATGAAAGAGGAGACAAACCCCGAGGAAGAAGAAGAGCCAAAGATGGAAGAAGAAGAAGGATACGAAGACAAGACTGAAGAAGAGGTCGTGGAGGAAGAAGAAACAAGGGATCATGAGGAAGAAAGAGAAGAAATCGAAGAAGATAGTAAACCAAGAAAGAAGAAAAGAAAAAAGTGTCGTTTTCCAGTAGTTGCAGGATCCACTCTGCTTATGTCTATTATTGTTTTCATTATTCAATTGATTCAGTCCAGAAGAAAATGATATCATTCTTTAGGTTTTTAGGATAGGGTTCTTGATGTTTTTAAGGACAGAACCCAGTTTTCTCCTTGCCTGTTTTTTGTAAGGATTAATATGTAATGTGAGTTTTGTGTTGTTTCACTGGTCCTCAGATGAAAAATAGAATTTGAAAAGGTTTTATACTGGAATCACCTACTCGGTGTAACGCTTATAGAACAATAAAAAAACTAATATGTAAACTTCAATTAAGATCAAAAATTTGATCATATTTGTTCAGTGTGAAAAGAAAATGCAAAAGCAGTCGGTTACTTGTTTCTCAAGACAACAAAAGAGGAAAGGCGTTGACTGTTTGACTATTTTTCAAGTCCTAAAGAAGAAGTAACGAATATTTATAGTCCTTCTCCTTCCCTTTACTCTTTTGGTGGAACATCGGAGCATCAACAAATCAAAAACCCTACAATCCACTTAAATCCTCAGAAGACAGGAAAGGAGTTAGTTATGGAGCTCGAATTGGGATTAAAGATCAGGAGAACGAGGGAAGACGTATCGTCCTCTGTGGATTTTCGCTTCTCTAAAGACGCATTTGGTCCTCTAGTGCTTTCTCGAGAAACTGATTCAAGGTTCATCATCATCATTCACCTCAAAGGTCAGAGTTAAATGCAGTTTCTTGAATATTTTGTCTTTTTTTTATTCTTTCTTTACTAGTGTATGCGCTTATAGACTTTAATTTCAATGAATAATCTGGGATAATTAGGGCTCATTGATTTAGGGTTTATAGTAGTGTTTGAAAGATTAGAGAAACTGATGAGAGAGATAGTTGATTTTGGGCAGGATTCAAAAAGGAAGGTATTGAGATTGAGATAAACAAAGAAGGGAATCGGATTACGATAAGAGGGAGAAAAGCTGTGGAAGAAATGGTTTTGATTAGATGGATGGCATGGAGGAAAGAAGTAGAACTAAGGGCATTTAGTAAAGTTTTTCTGATTCCAGATATTGTTGATTTAGACAAGATCAAAGCCAGATTCGACGATGATGATGCGACTCTTACGATCACAATGCCGAAAAGAGTTAAAGGTATTTCTGGATTTAAGCTTGAGGAAGAAGAAGAAGAAGAAGAAAGAGTGGACTTTGGCGATTTGAGTGATGGTGAGAACAGAGCAGAAATACAGAATGGAGAAGAAGTTGAAGAGGAGAATGGAGGAATTATGGAAGATGAAGAAAGAGAGAGTCAAGTTTTGGGAGGTGAAGAAAAGGGTTTCAGAGGAGGTCTGGATGAAGAAGAGACTCAAACTGATGATGGTAACTTGGAAAAGATTCAAGAGACTAATGAACAAGACAAGATTTTGGAATTTGCAGAAGAAGAACAAAAGTTGGGTGATTCATCATATACAGAGACTGAGGACAGTAGTAGACTCAGAAAGGTTCCAGAGATTGAAGGAAAAGGTTCTCATGAACAGACAAGACACGAGGAGGAAGAAAATTACCAAGAAGTGGTGGAACAGCAAGTTTCACAAGAAGGTGATATTGAATCTAGAGCATTTGAAGAGATTGAAGAAGAAGAACCTGATGAGCTAGATAGAAAAAGGAAAAGTAGAGCAATGGAAAAGAAAACCAGTGATGATGAAGATGACGGTGGCTTGAGCAAGGTTCAAGGAATTGACGAACCAGAGAGACACAATGAAGAAAGCAAGATTCATGAAATGATGGAAGGGGAAACATGTGGTCAAGAGAAGGATAAAAATGTAATGATGGAGAGAGAAAATAAAGATGCCAAAGAAGAGGGTGATGGGAAATTTGAAGAAGGATTCACACCAAACATTGAGAGAACACAAGTAGTTGGAGGAGATGACATTGCAGAAACTGAGGAGACTGAATCAGATGAACTGGTTGAGAAGAAAGAAGAGGAAGAGGAAACTTCTAATGTAAAAAGAGAAAGTGAATACAGAAACCTAATAAAAATGCTTCAAGACACTGAAGAACAGCATTCAAAGGGACAAAAGCGACAAGAGAAAACTCCAGAGGCAGAGACATATACAGGGAATGATATTCCGAAACCAGTTCAGGAGACTGAAGCACCAGAGGTGGATATGTTAGAGCAAAATGGTAATGAAGAAAAGGAGAAGAAGAAAAGTGTAACTATGGATCCCACAGAAGAGGTTGATGCTGAAAAGGGTGAAGGATTCGCAACAAACATTGCAGAAACTGAGACAAAACCTGAAGAGTTTGAATCTGATAAACTAGAAGCAGATGAGGTAGACAAGAACCAGGAACTGGTCGAGAAGAAAGAGGAAAATGCTAAGGTCGGAACACAAAGTGAAGACATTAGCTTCATAAAGCCTCCAGAAATTGGAGAAGAACACTTTCAGGGACAAACGCTACATGACAAACATGAAAAGAGGAAAGAGTTGGTGGAAGAGAAAACTCCAAAGGCAGAGAAAAATATAGGGAATGATACTCCGAAACCAGGTCAGGAGAAATGTGAGGGGCAACAGCAAGAAGAGTACAAAGGGAAAAAGACTGATGAAGCTGGTGAGAGAAAGGTTCAAGAGATTATTAGACAGCAAGAGTTTGAGGAACCAGAAAGATGCAAGAAAGAAAGCAAAATACATGATGAAGAGAAAGAGGAGAAAGAAATTGCAGAAACAGTAACAAAGGAGCAAGATTCATATATCCCCAAAATAGCTGAAGAGAAGACAAACTTTTCAAAAAATGGAAAACTCAAGGAGGAAGAAGAAACTGCAGAGAAGAAAACAGAGTTTGGTGATGATGATATTTCAAGAAAAGTTCGAGATTTAGATGCCAAAAAAGAGGTTGATGAGGAAATGGGCGAAGGATTCACACCAAAGATTTCAAAAGTTTCTGAGACAAAAGATAAAGTAGAAACAGATGAGAAACTAATTGAGAAGAAAGAAGAAGCAGAGGAAAATACTAAGGTGAGAAGTCAAAGTGAAGACAGTAGCTTAATAAAAGAGCTTCAAGAGACTGAAGAACAACAGTTTCAGGGACAAAAGCGACACAACAAGAAAGAAAAGAACAAAGAATTGGTGGAAGAGAAAACTCCAGAGGCAGAGACAAATATAGCGAATGAAATTCCGAAACCAGTTCAAGAGATTGAAGCACCAGAGGTGGCTACGTTAGAGACACGTGTGGAGAAAGATATTGCAGACACGGAAACAAAGGAGAAAGAGCCATATAGACCACAAATACTTGGGGCACAAGAAATAGCTGAAGAGAAGGTGAACTTTTCAAGAAAAGTCGAGGAGAAAGAAGAAACTGCAGAGAGGAAAACAGAATATAATGATGATGATATGTCAAGAAAAGTTCGAGATATTGAACAACGAGATTCAGACGTAATGAAGGGAGAAGAAGAAAAAGACGGGACTCAAGAATTAGGACTGGAAGAAAAAGTAAGTGATGGCGGAAAAAGAATCATGGCAGTGGCGGAGACAATAGCTGAGAATGACAGGTCAAGACAAGTTCAAGAGATTTACGAACAACAGTCACATGAAGAAGACAAACGTGGAAATCAATTCCAGAAACTTATTGGAGGAGAGAAAAGTGGTCATGGAGAAGTTGAAGATGTGGAGAACAAAAAGCAGACAACAGAGGCGGACAGAAGATTCAGGGATAGCGCGAGAGAAGCTCAAGAGACTGAAAGAAAATATTCAGATGTTTCTGAAAAATATGGTAAAGTAGACACGATCCAAGAACTGCAGGAAAATAGAACTTATCAAAATGAACAAGAAGAGAAGGAGAAAGACAATGGCGACGATGGAGAAAAGACTCAAGAACTGGTGGAAGAGAAAATCAAGGATTGCAAAGAAGAAGCATCAGAGACCAAAACCAATGATGCCGCAAGAAATGTTGAAGGTATTACAAAACAGGTGGAAGAGAAAGCCAAGGATTGTAAAGAAGAAGAGTCAGAGACCGAAAATAATGATGTCGAAAGGAAGGTTCAAGGTATTAAAGAACATGAGTTGTATGAACCAAAAAGAGACCATGTAAGCAAGATTCAAGAACTGGTAGCAGAACCGGAGATAGAAGGTGAATGTGATGACTTACGTAAAGCACACGGTACTGAAGAACAGGAGTTGCATGAACCGAATATACACAAGGAACACGATGAGACCCGAGTAACTGGGACAGAGGAGCCAGGTGGTCAAGTGAAAGAGAAATTTGTAGAGTCTATGACAATAACAGAGAAGGACAGCTCCACAAATGTTCAAGAGATCAGGGAAGAACGACCTGACAAGCCAGATAGCCATGAGAAACAATACAAAATTCATGAAGTGGTGGAAGATAGAGAAGCAGAACAAGAAGAAAAGAACATTGCCAAGGCAAAACAGCAAATTGAGGAATATAGTTCAAGAAAAGTTCAAGAGATTGAAAAACAGGAATCTGATGGATTGATGAGACCTAAGGTACAAGATAAGATGCAAGAAACAGAGGAAAAAGGCAAAACTGGAGCAATGGAGGATATTGTGCTGAGGAGGAAAAACGCTAAAGATGTTAGTAGCTTGAGCAAATTTCGAGATGATGAAGAGCCAGAATTAAGTAAACCTTACAAGAGACGAGAAGAAGACAAGATGCAGGAACTCGTGGAAATGGAAACAAGTGATTACAGAGAAAAAGTCAAGAAACAAGATGGGAGTGATATCTTAAGAGGCCAAGGAGATGGGAGACCCGAGTTAGATGAAATTGAGAGACACAGTGAGCAAATAAATATTCCTAAATTGGTGGGAGAAGAAAAACTGGAGAAGATGGCCGAGCTAGGGAGAAAAATGGATGATGACAGTTCAGGCAATGAAGAACGAAAATCAGAGAGAAAAGATTTTGCTGAAGATGAAGCAACTGATCACACTAGTGGAGAGGACCATACTGAAGATAAAGAGGAACGACAAAAAGAAAAGGTTATTGCCAAGGCAGAACTGAAAACTGAGGAAGATAGCACAAAAAAGTTTCAAGAGATTGAAAAACAAAGATCTATGGTGCAAGATAAAACGCAGGAAACAGAGGAAAAAGACAAAACTATAGCAATGGAGGAGAATGAGATGGTGGAGAGAAGGAAAAAAACTAATGAAGAGAGCTTGAGAACTATTCGAGATGGAAAAGAACCAGAACTGAATAAACCTTACAAGAGGCGAGATGAAGACAAGATCCAGGAACTAGTGGAAACGGAAAGAAGTGATTGCGGAGAACAAGTCAAGAAACAAGATGGGGATGATATGTTAAGAAGCCAAGAAGCTGTCAAACTGGATTTAGGTGAACTTGACAGACACTGTAAGGAAAAAAAGAACGACAAAACAGTGGAAGATGATCAGAAAGGAGAAGGAAAAACTGAGAACATTTCCGAGCCAGGTGGAAAAATGGAAGGGGACAGAGCAGGCAAGTTTCATGAGTTTCAAAAACAAAAATCATATGAAGACTTGAGAGAAGAGGAGAGTGAAGAGGTGGAAGATTTGGTTAAGGAAAAAGCAACTGATCCCAAAGATAAACACACAGGAGGAAAAGGAGAACATGAAGAAGAAAGATATGAGAAAGTTGTATTGCCTTGGAAAGAAGTTGAGAATGAGATGAACAAAAAGGTAGGGAAAACTAAAGAACCAGAATCTGACAAAGTGGAAGGATCACTAAGAGAGGGAGCAAGTGATCGAGAAAAACTTGTGGATGAGTTTATGACAGAGATTCAAGAAACTGAAAATGAAGAATCACATGAGTCTGAGATTCACGAGAAACTAGAGATAGTCCAAGATTTTGTGGAAGACGAAACAGGGGATCAGGAAGATGAAACGGCAGAGGAAGCTGCAGCTGTGGTGGAGAACAAAGGAAAAGATTGTTTGAGAAAATTGCAAACTATAGAAGAACATAAGGAACAAAACATTATCCCCCAAAAAAGTGATCCTGAAGCTAAAAAAGAAGATGAGGAAAGAGATGCAGAGAAAGAGACAAAAGAGCCAGAAACTCATGTCCAAGAACTTGAAGGAAAAACAGAGAAATGCAAAGATGACGATGGAGAAAAAGGGAAGACTGTTGAGAGAGAAAAGTACGATGGTATTGTGAGAGAGATCCGAGAGACTAAAGTGCAAGAATCAAGTGAAAAGAAGGATCAAGAGCCGGAAGAAAAGAGAAAGGAATCATCAAATCTATCAAAGAGACGACCAGTGGAACAAGACAAAATCCAACAACTGAAGGAGGTGGAAAAGCGTGAAGATGAAGAAAAAGCAGAAGTGGAGACAAAAGCCAACGATGGTAAATCAAAAAAGTTTAAAATGCTGGATTTGGATGAATCAGAAGAGAATGAGGAACTGCATGAGACCCGGAAAGCAAATGCTCCTAAAAATGAAAAAACTGCAGAAGAGGAGATGCAAGATAAGGTTGAAAGAAGAATTAAGGACCAAGAGATACAAGAACCATATGAGCTTGTAGAAGACAGAGAGCGTGACAAGACTCCAGAACCGATTGTCGAAGGAACAAGATATCATAGAGAAGGGGAAAAGGGAATGTCAACGGATGGAGATACTGAAGAGATGGAGGGAATATCTGAGGATTTTAGCTCAAGAAAGGTTGAGAAAATCAAAGCACAGGAATCAGATGGATTAGAGAAACAGAGGAAACTAAGTGAGATCCAAGAAAAACAATCAGTGGAAGAAAAAATACAGGAACACAGGGAAGAAGAAACTCATGAAGGGGTGCTCACGACCAAATCTATGGAAGATTCAATTCAGTCACAAGTTTTTGAAGAAAAAGGATCAGATCAGCCTGAGAGAGATGCAGAACAAGAACTAATGGCTGAGGAGGAAGGAAAAGAAGAATATAATCAAAGAGAAGGAGAGCAGAAGTCGAAGATAATTCTGCAGGTGGAGTCTAAAGCTAATGACGATAGCTCAGAAAAGAATGAGACAGAAAGATTGAGAGGGCAAAAGAAAAAAGAAGATCATCAAGAACTGATGGAAACAGAGACAAGTGATCAGAGGAATGAAGAAATGGAGAAGAAGATTGTTGAGACAAAAGATGAATATGATAGCTCAAGTAAGATTCAAGAACATAAAGAAGAGAAGTCAAATAAACAAGACGGATCACTTGCAAAAGAGGAAACAAGAAATGATAAAGAAGAAAACAGAGCAGGGGGAGAGACAAAAATCAGGGATGATGGCTTTGAAGAAAAAGAAGAAGAATTAGCGATAGTGGTGAGACACAGAGAACAAGACAAGAAGCAATCATTTGTGGAAAAGGACACAAGTGATAAAGCAAAAGAGAATAAGAATCAGGAGACAGAGAGTAGAGATGATAACTCAAGAAAGTCACAAGAACATGTAAAACAAGAGTTTCATGAACAAAAAAGAAATCATGAGGAACCAGACAAGACGAACCTGAGACAAAACTATTGCAGAAATGAAGATGATGGTAAGAAAGGTAAAGACATTGCAGAGGCAGATGTCCCAGAAAAGTCGAAGGGGACTGAAAAACGAGAATCAACTGAAACTGTGGGAAGAGATGAGAACAAAGATAACATCAGAGAATCGAAGGAAGAGAAAATGAGCAACCAAGAAGGAGAAAACAAGAAGAGAATGATTAAAGAAGTCTTGGAAGAAGCTGAAGATCATGAATCAAAAGGACCTGAAGGACTGAGAAAAGAAGACAAAAGCAGAGAACTAGTGCAACAGAGATCAGCAGATAACCTTAAAGATGACGAACCCGCAAAGACAGAAACAAAAAGCAAGGATAATGAATCAAGAAAGATTCGTCAGATCAAAGAAAAAGAAACAGGTGAAGAAGAGAGACGTAAAGAACAAGGAAGGATCAAAGAATTGGTGGAAGACAGAACACATCATTGCAAAGGAAAACAGAACAGAGAAAATGAGTCTGAAGATGGTTACAAAAAAGAGATAGACAAAGAAGAACCAACCGAACCAGGAAGAGATGAGAAACGAGACGAGTTCCAAGAAGCAGTGGATAGGGACACAAGTGAAGATGACGAGGAAGAGTTAGAAGTTGAATATGAAGAATCAGAAGAAGAATGGGAAGCTGAAATAATTCAAGAGATGGGTTCAGATGAAGATGAAAATGATAAAATTAGACAAATAAAAAGAATCAGACTAGGGTTCCGGTTAGTTGGAGGATCAGCATTGTTTATGTCACTTATAGTCATTGTTATTCGTTTTGTTCGTTCCAAGAGAAATATAAGATGTTACAAGTTCTAACCAAAAACACAAACATCATCTTTTTCTATTATTATTCTTAGATTTCCATTGAAACGAACTCAAGATTCATACAACGTTTATTACCATTAAACGGTTTAATCTTTAGAGAACAGAAAAGGAACCAACTTGTGTAAGCCTATTTTAAAAACTCAATGACCCACAAATGATACGCTTGGCATACAAAGTTGCAACTGGCAAAACCCGAATTAGCAGCTAAAGCTTCATACTCAGCACGAGTCCTCTCTTTTCCTCCAGAGAGCTGTGTGAGCATCAACAAATCCATATCAAAGGCAATGTTGGACTGCACAGTACCAATCTCTGACTCATCGGGAATAACTAGTTCCATTATAACCACTTTCCCATTCTCCGGTAACGCTTTCCAGCAGTTCTTGAGAATCTTGTCACAGTCTTCATCAGTCCAATCATGAAGTATACGCTGCAAAAACATATAAAGTAAGTTACAAAAATACATACTAGACAAAAAGTAGGAGCTTGTGTTTGTTTGTGTCTTACTTTCAAGATGATAGCATCTCCTCTTGGGACTTCAACAAACATATCTCCAGCCACATGCTCCACATTAGGATAAGAAGGTGCTTGTATCACAGCACAAGTTAGGTCAAAATTGATACCTTTCATGTTTGGATACTTTGAAGTAATAAACCCTAGCGTGTTCCCAACACCTCCTCCTACATCAACCAACACATTAACTCCTTCGAAACCTCTGTAAACTTCTAGAAACTTCTTCAAAACCCCGGCGCTGAAACCGGTCCGGTTAAAGAGTTTGCTTAATCTTTCATCAGTGCCTATATAATCAAATAGCTTCAAACCACCATTAGCCCTAGCAAATGCATCTCCTCCTTCTAACACCACATCTTTTAATTGTGCCCTGTAAAAAAAAAAATTAGCTATTTTCAACAACAACAACAAAAAGTAATCATGGACTACGACTAGAGAGAGATCAAGAAAGTAATTTATTTACCAGGTATTGAGGAAGACACTGTCGAGTTCAAGAATGAACTGAGAAGCAAGTGTGCCCATTTCTTCAATATTGTATCTCAAGAAGTATTTACAAATAGGGTCGGCTTTGTAAACCCTCTCGCCGTCAACGACTTGGCACTTGACCATAGAGTAGCTGGCGAGTAAACGAAGCATACGGTCCAACAGAGCCGGTGCTTCAGGGTTACTAGGCGTTGTGGGAAGCCGAACCGCTATCTCAGACGGTTTGAGGAACGAACCGGATCCGTTGACGTCAGCACGAGCAGCTGAGTAGAGAGTGTCGATGACACCGAGCTCGATGGCGGCTTTGAATACCATAGGGAAGGTTATGTAATTGGCTAGCCTCACCGCCCTCAAACCAAGCTCTGTTTCTTCATCTTCGTGAATCTCATTGATGGGTTTAGCGTCGAAATCGTTTCCCATTTTTTTTGGTTATTGTTCTTGTTTTCTTCTTCTCCGTCAAGGCAAATGTTTTAGATCAAAATATTGTTTTAGTACATAGTTTTTCAATCATCTTTGTGTCTCCTTATATGGGCGAATTGCTTAGCCATTCATCTCCATAGATTTGTTTTTTTTTTATTGTTTTACCGTCCATCTCTCTAATAATTGAGTGATTATTTGATGTAAAGATATTATCATTATTATTGTTATTTTATTCTTTTTCTTTTTGCTTTGATGGTCGTCCATGATGGCTGGATCTGGCTGAATAATAATCCGGAATCAAAGAGCCACCGAGTCACTGTCTATTAAAATTCATAAAATAAGAAATCACGTTAAACACGCATAGAAAGACTACTCTTTCTCTTGTACAGTAGCTGTGGTTGTTGGATAATTTTTTGTATCAAAATAATTGTAATTTATTAAATTTTTATATAAACTTTTGAAACAAAATATCAATTTAATCTTGAATCTAAGAATATCAAAGTGTCAATTTATTTTACATTATAAGAGTATAGATGAATTTTGAGTATGTTTTCTTTATCCTTTTTTTTACTATCTGTGTAAAAGGTTTCAAAGCAATATACTTATTGGGAAATGAACAAAAGTAGTAACGTATTTGTTGTTCGACCAAACAAAAAAAAGAGTAACGTATTTGTTTTACTGCTGTCGCCTACTCTTATCTTCTTCACTCTGCTAAACACGCATTAGATGCAAGCTTTGTGTTAGTCAGTGAACTTCACTGAGTTAGTAATAATGTTGAGACGTAGATTTACATCACTATGGTTTGTCCATTTTTTTGTTCTTTACAAGAACTGAGTGTAAATGGTAACATCCATCCATTTGTTGGAATCGGTTTCCTTACTAACTTTGTTAAAAAGGGTGAAAAATGTTAGAAGTGGCATAATTAGAATTTATGTTTAGGTGTAGTACCAAAAAGTTGTGAAAAATGTGAGGAACTGGAGAAGGTAGGTGGAGCATAGATCCAAATATAATGTCAATTTGCTTGTAAATTGTGTTTCTTGGTCATTTATATGACATTATTAATGAGGTTACGTATATAATAATAATATACGTGGATCATATTCTCAAGTTATTAAATAGTTTTCACTTTCGCCTGGACTTTTCAATGATCGTCTCCTAACGTAACTAAAAAAAAACATTCAATTTCTCAATGAAACAATATAACCATCAGTCTCCTTTTTCTAACAATAAAAAAATGATAAAATATTTAAAAATGATAAAATAAAGTGAAATGAATACTTTATTAAGAAAATTTATAGTGATGTGATCTCTTTAATAACTTTTCTGGTAAAATTTTAAGATCTCCTCGATACTGGAGTACTATTCTTGTAATGAACGATCAGTTCATGTAGTCATTTTATTCTAACTGGTCTTCATTTTAATTCTTTGACTGATTAATCAAATTTTAGTTTTCCAAGACCTAGAACCGAGCACCTAGAAGTTTGCGGGGCATTTAAAAGTGATGAACACTTACAGAGCAAGAGTGGCAACAAAATAGTTTAAATTATCTAGCTATACTAGCTAACAAGTCCGACCACATGCTTATGTCTACATATAAAGAATCTTAACACGACAAAGTTTACGATCTTATATCGTAAAATAAGAAACAAATATCATGAAAACATAATTGTGGTAATAAGCATAGTTTCACTCACATATGAAATCGATTGGATCTTATATATGTTCTAGATCTCATTTGTACGTATTTCAAATTTTGACAATATCATTTAAAAACTAATTTTAAATATTAATAAATTATCTCCTGACCAACAACAAAAAAAAAGTAACAAATCTTTACTAGTATATATATTATAATATGGTGTATTTGTAAATAATAGAGTAATTAATGACTTTAGATATATCTCAAATTAGGTACTTTTTCTGACAATTTTTTAGTGTTATTGTTGACACTAAAAAGATGTGCATATCTTTATAATAATTATATTTCTTTTTTTTATGTCTTCGTCTTTTTCGCCATTACCAGTTCGTTCAAGATCACTTTTTTATACATCTTCAATTTCTTTACAAATTTGTTTGTGTGTTTCTCCTTTATATAAATTTCGAAATTGATAATGATGGTGATAGTGGCGGATGAGAAATAATGGTAAAAGATGATGATGGTGGTGATGTCGAAAATATCAGTGGTGATGATTATTAGTGGTCGATAGTGTTGATGAAATCGCCGATGGTCAGGGCCGGCCCACAGCACAGGCCACCTAAGCGGCTGCTTAGAGCCACTATTTTTTTCAAAATTTTATGGGCCACATATAATAGGTATATGTTGTACTAAATTTTGAGCCCATATATTTTTTAAAAAAAGAAATCACAAATATTAATTAGAAAACCTTAACAATTTACAATTCTCTAATACTATTTTTTTCTAAAAACGCTTATACTTTTATCGCCGCAATTTGATATACTGCACGTCGACGTCTCTGTTCCACAAAGTCATTGAAGTCAATCCAGGTAAACTGTTTCATAATTTACCAAATTGGTATATTCTACTTCTTTATAATCAACACAATAAACGATTTGCTGCAAGTATTTGAATATGACTTAATCGTTCTTTGTTATTAATTTCAGAAAAAAATGGTTCCTCCTTTGGATAAAAGATCACATAAGCCAGGAAACTTAAGAAGAAGAGAAGAAAAAAGGAGAGAATTATTAAGGAAATCTGACGAGAATTCTATTTTGAAGTTTGTCCAAATCAGAAAGCCTGAAAATCTTACGGCTGGTGTATCAGATACTCAAACTCAGAGAAACAATGAAGAAGTTGAGAATGATTTGGATTTTGAGAATATGGATGCTCATGGCGAAGGAGAGATAGAAAACAGTGACACTGAAAGGGAAAAGGATGTATCTGAAAGTGAAAAAGGAGAAAACAATGAAGAGTTTGTCTCAGATATTTCTGATCCTGGGAATTGGACAAACATTGATCTGAAGATGAGATATTTCTTGGTTGAGAAAGGTCCAGCGATAAGGTTATCAAGTGACTATCGATTTCCTAAGGATGGGAATGGTAGACACTTCTCTCATGTGTTCTACACAAGAGATATGATCAATGGAGAAAGGCACGACAGAAAATGGCTGGTTTACTCAAAATCTTTAGATAAAGCTTTTTGTTTTTGTTGTAAGTTGTTTAAACATGACAAAAAGTCTCTTCAGCTAGCTGCCAGTGGGTACAGCGATTGGAGAAATCTGTCAAGGAGGCTCAAAGAACATGAAAGTAGTTATGATCACATTGTTTGTATGACTCGCTGGACAGAGTTAGAGATTAGACTACAAAAAGGTAAAACGATTGATAAGTATGCTCAAGAAGAAATTAGAAAGGAGAAGAATCATTGGCGAGAAGTACTATTGAGGATTTTTGCAGTGGTGAAGACGCTTGCAAAAAATAATTTGGCATTTCGTGGAGATAGTGACAAGATTAGAGAAGAAAATAATGGAAATTTCTTGAGTTTTATTCAAATGATTGCAGAGTTTGATCCAGTTATGCAGGAGCATGTCAGGCGAATTGAGCAAGGAGAGATATATTCTCATTATCTTAGTCACAAGATACAGAATGAGTTGATAGAAATATTGGCCACTGATATCAGACTTAAGATTATAAAGAAGATTAAGGCTTCAAAGTACTTTTCAGTGATTCTTGATTGCACTCCAGATATCAGCCATAAAGAGCAGATGACTTTGATTATTCGGTGTGTAGATGTTTCTGCAACTTCAACTAAGATTGAAGAATTTTTTTTGACATATTTGAAAGTAGATGATAAATCTGGCGAAGGACTTTTCTCTACTCTTCAAGATGCATTGGTTGGTCTTGAATTGGATATTGATGATGTGAGAGGTCAAGGCTATGACAATGGATCCAATATGAAAGGAAAACATAAAGGAGTGCAAAAGAGATTGCTTGAGATTAATCCAAGGGCCTTTTATACACCATGTGGTTGTCATAGCTTGAATCTTGTGCTTTGTGATATAGCTTCTTCTTCAGAAAAGGCAGTGTCTTTTTTTGGAATCATTCAGCGAATATACTGTTTGTTTTCATCTTCAACAAACAGGTGGGATGTATTTAAAGAGATGGTGGAAGGTTTGACAGTTAAATCTTTATCTCAAACTCGTTGGGAGAGTCGTGTTGAGAGTGTCAAAGCAATACGATTCCAAGCGCCTGCAATAAGGGATGCTTTACTTTCCTTGGCAGACTCGGATGATCCAAAAACACGAAGTGAATCTGAATCTCTTGCATTAAGTGAAACACACAGTATTGGAGGTTTTGAATTCTTGTTTGGCATGGTTATTTGGTATGATCTTCTATCTGTTGTCAACACTGTGAGTAAATCTTTACAGTCACAAGACATTGATATCAATGTCGCCATTGAGCAACTGAAAGGGCTAGTTTCATATTTTCAGAAGTATAGAGAAACAGGTTTTGATTCAGCAAAATCTGAGGCTACAAAAATTGCAGACGCTATGGAGATCGAAGCCAAGTTTCCTGAGAAAAAAAAACGTTTTATAAAAATAAAAAAGAAGTATGATGAGGATCCTGGAAAAGTTGATGATAACCTTGAAGTATCACCAGAGGAGAATTTCAGAGTTAATTACTTCATCACCCTCATGGATCAAGCTTTGGTATCCCTTGAGACAAGATTTGAGCAATTCCAAAGGTATGAACAAACTTTTGGTTTTCTGTTTGATTTGAAAAAGCTAAAATCTGTTGCTGCCGATAATTTAAGAGCATCGTGTATGAACCTTGAGGTTTCTTTGAAGAACGATGAACAATCTGATATAGATGGGGATGATTTGTTTTCAGAACTAAAAGTTCTTCGAGAAGTATTACCAACGGAAGTAAGAAAACCTATTGATGTGTTGGACTTTTTGAAAAGTAGGGAAGCTTATTATGCAAATACATCGATTGCTTACAGAATAATGTTGACGATTCCGGTATCTGTTGCAACTGCTGAAAG